TCCATTAAACTACCCCAAAGCCACAAAAGTGAATGGAAATGTTTTGCCCTTTATTAACAGATGTCCATAAGGGGGCATCTGTGGTGTGCTGTGGAGCTGCATGCAGGCTTCTTGCAACTGCATTTTATTATTTTTATTTATTATTATTATTTTTTTAAATTTGATTTATATGCCGCCCTTCTCCGGAGACTCAGGGCAGCTTACAATGCGCTAAGCAATAGCCTTCATCCTTTTGTATATTTTATACAAAGTCAGCTTATTTCCCCCACAATTGGGTCCTCAATTTACCTACCTTAGAAAGGATGGAAGGCTGAGTCAACCTTGAGCCTTGGCGAGATTCGAACCTGCAGTAATTGCAGGCAGCTGGTCTTAATAACAGGGTGCCTTAGACCACTGTACTACCAAGGCTCTTGGTATCCCGCCTTTATTTATGCCGCCTTTATTGTTTTTATAAATAACTCAAGGCGACAGACTTACATAATACTGTTTCTTCTGGTTTTACCACAACAACCCTGTGAGGTGGGTTGCATTGAGGGAGTGTGACTGGCCCAAAGTCATCCAGCTGGCTTTCATGCTAGGCGGGACTAGAACTCACAATCTTCTGGTGATTGGCAAAGTTGCCTAGCTTCCTTTCATGCCTGAGGCGGGACTAGAATTCACAGTCTCCTGGTGATTGGCAGTCACTTAGCTGGCTTTTGCGCCTGAGGTGGGACTAGAACTCACAGTCTCCTGGTGATTGGCACAAAGTCAGCTGGCTTTCACGCCCAAAGTGAGACTGGAATTCACAGTCTCCTGATGATTGGCACAAAGTCACCTAGCCAGCTTTCATGCCTAAGGAAGGACTAGAATTCACAGTTTTCTGATTTCTAGCTTGGTGTGTTAACCATTAGACCAAACTGGCTTATATTTATGTAAATTGAGAATTGCTCAATTTATTAAAAGGATCTCAACAAGTCAAACATATTTTCAGGGTACTTCAGCAAAAATATATCACTTCCAAATATTGGGAACAAATAGTTTTCTGTTCTGGCCTGGTCAGATTTTTCCTCAAAGATTCATTAGGTTCTGGACTCCACAAGTTCTGAGCTCCACAGTTTCAGAAAGTGTGGTCAAACTAGAAGAGATTCATAGAAGAAAAGGAGCAGGATCATGGACTGGGAACCAAGTCCTGTGAGAAGAGGTCAACATTGCTCAGCCCCGAGAAGGAGAAACTGAGGGGGAATATGATAGCATGCTTTAAATACCCATGAGATGTCCTAGTGAAAGGTATGAGCCCTTCTCTGCTATGCAGGCTACATAACATAGTATAAAATGGGAGTAAATTCCACTTGAACCACTTCCTAACAGCAAAAGCAGTTTTGATGGTGGAGCTGATGGCCTAGAATGGGGATATATCCAGACAGCCTTCTATCATGGATGCTTTAGTGTGGATCCCCACAGAGGGCAAGGAGTTGGACTCCGTGGCCGAGATGGCCTTTTCCTGCTTCACGGTCCAACTGGTTTTATGAATTTAGTAGGGTTATAGTTGTTGTTTTTGTTAGGAAATGGTTATTTGTCTAACTAGTTGGTCAGGCAATATATAAACCAACAATGTATGTTTGCAGTCAGAAAGGTATTATATTGCTTTAAGACTGTATTGCATCATCCTGTATCCTGATTGGCTAAGCTCTGTAGCCAATGTACTTAAGGGAAGTCAGGATCATGGCTTGTGTGGATGCTACACCATTTTACCTGTTTATTTGCTGTAACTCTCTATCTGATCTCTCTGCATGATCACTGTTTGATCATAGCTACATGTTGCTTTCTACTATTTATTGAATGTTTTGATATTGAACTTGTTCCTGTTTTGAAACTCAAGAAGAACTGTTTTATTGTGTATGACTACAACTGGTAAGAAGACTTTGTACTTGAAATATCCCTGGATTGATCTTTTAACTCTCGTCTTATCTGTGTATGACTTGGATTGTTTTTGGACTTTGCTTTACTTTTCTAAAAGTAAAAGACTACAACAACTCAGTGTGTTGACTGTGATTGTTCACAACCACTCCCAGTCATTTTTCATGTGTTTACTCAAAGGGTACTCTGCTCAATAACCCACAACATCGGTTATGAGCCAAGAATATCCTTAACAGTTTTCACTTGGTTCAGCATTTTCATGCTTGGACAAGATGAGGGCTTGGGAGTTGAAATCCACACATATTAAAAGCTGCTGAGTTTGAGAAACATTATTCTAACACCTTCATCTCATCTTTTGTAAAGGCTGCTCTGATCTGCCTATCGAGCTGGTTTAGAAAGCACAGACCTTTTAGCAATCCTAAAGTTCATTATTCTATCTAGAAAAACAAAATGCACAGGTACAGTGTATGTGGTACCTTGCTCAATAGTAGTAACTGTGAGAGGGATCTTGGAGTCCTAGTGGACAACCATTTAAATATGAGCCAGCAGTGTGCAGCAGCTGCCAAAAAAGCCAACACAGTTCTAGGCTGCATAAACAGAGGGATAGAATCAAGATCACGTGAAGTGTTAATACCACTTTATAATGCCTTGGTAAGGCCACACGTGGAATTTGGTCGCCACGATGTAAAAAAGATGTTGAGACTCTAGAAAGAGTGCAGAGAAGAGCAACAAAGATGATTAAGGGACTGGAGGCTAAAACATATGTAGAACGGTTGCAGGAGCTGGGTATGTCTAGTTTAATGAAAAGAAGGACTAGGGGAAACATCATAGGAGTGTTCCAATATCTCAGGGGTTGCCACAAAGAAGAGGGAGTCAAACTATTCTTCAAAGCACCTGAGGGCAGGACAAGAAGCAATGGGTGGAAACTAATCAAGGAGAGAAGCAACTTAGAACTAAGGAGAAATTTCATGACAGTTAGAACAATTAATCAGTGGAACAACTTGCCTCCAGAAGTTGTGAATGCTCCAACACTGGAAGTTTTTAAGGCACTCTCAGCATCTCTGCCCTTTTTCCTTCGCCCAAGATCTTCAAGGCATGTGATCCTGTCCACCATTAAAATCATCTTTCCAAGCAGCTACCATGTTTCCAGTGTCTTTCTCCCCACTTGGAACTGAACCCAGATGGGCATTTCTTCCACCACTACCAAGAAGTCACTCCACTTTGGGTTGTTGTTAGTTGCAAAGTCGTGTCCAACCCATTGCGACCCCATGGATAATGTTCCTTCAGGCCTTCTTCTTCTACCATCCTCTGGAGTCCATTTAAGCTCATGCCAACTGCTTCAGTGACTCCATCCAGCCACCTCATTCTCTGCCGTCCCCTTCTTCTTTTGCCCCCAATCGTTCCCAGCATTAGGCTCTTCTCCAGTGAGTCCTTCCTTCTCATTAGGTGGCCACAGTATTTGAGTTTCATTTTCAGGATCTGGCCTTCTAAAGAGCAGTCAGGGTTGATCTCCTCTAAGACTGACTGGTTGGATCGCCTTGCAGTCCAAGGGACTCGCAAGAGTCTTCTCCAGCACCAGAGTTCAAAGGCCTCAATTCTTTGGCGCTCAGCCTTTCTTATGGTCCAACTTTCACAGCCATACATTGCAACTAGGAAAACTATAACCTTGACTATACGCACTTTTGTTGCTATTTAATTCCTGAAGACCTTGTAACACCTCTCCTGCGCGAGCTGCACTGACTCCCGGTGGTCTTCCGGGTGCGCTTCAAGGTATTGGTTCTCATCTTTAAAGTGCTCCATGGCTTGGGGCCCGGGTATTTACGAGACCACCTTCTGCCACCGATAACCTCCCACCGGCCAATCCACTCCCACAGAGAGGGTCTCCTCAGGGTGCTGTCGGTCAAGCAATGTTGATTGACGACCCCCAGAGGGAGAGCCTTCTCTGTGGGGGCACCCGCCCTCTGGAACGAGCTACCCCCAGGAATACGACTGATCCCGGACCTCCGTACTTTTCGCCGAGCGTCGAAGACCTTCTTATTTCAGCAAGCCAGGCTGGCTTAAAATTTTAATGGGCTATTTTATGGGTAAGGGGTTTTAAAATTTGGGGAAGCCAAACTAATTTAATTCTGTTTTAATTTATTTTAATTTTTATACTGTATGTATTTTAATTTTGGCTGTTCACCGCTCTGAGTCCTTCAGGAGAAGGGCGGTATACAAATTTAATAAACCATAAACCATTTTGAAACCAGCCTCTGGATCTCTCTGTTTTAATAAGTTGCCTTTAAAGAAAACATGGTTTACAAGCCAAAAGTGCCTTGGATTCACCTGCTTTACTAAATAAAAAAATTTAAAAAAAAATTAGCTTTCATGACGATGGAGAGAGCTAGAATTTTTTTGCAAGTACTAATTCCACCTTCCCTGAGTGTTAAAAATACAGCAATGAAAAATAAATACGCATTTCCTCTTTTAAATGTCACAACCATAATTCAGAAGCAAATCCTTGGACAACCATTTGTCTGAAATGGTACAAGTAGTCCTCAACTTACAATAGTTCATTTAGTGACCATTCAAAGTTACAATGGCACTGAAAAAAGTGACTTATGGCCATTTTTCACACTTATGACTATTACAACATCCCCGTAGTCACGTGATCAAAATCCAGATGCTCGGCAACTGACTCATTTATGACGGTTCCAGTGTCATGGTGTCATGTAAGCAAAGTCAATGAAGAAGCCAGATTCACTTAACAACTATGTTGCTTAACTTAAGAATGGCATTGATTCGCTTAACGGCAAGGAAAGTCATAAAATGGGATCAAACTCACTTAACAAATGTCTTACTTAGCAACAGAAACGTTGGGCTCAATTGTGGTCGTAAATGGAGGACTACTTATATAAGGTTTCCTGCCTGATCTGAGGGTTGGACTAGAAGACCTCCAGGGGTCCCTTCCAAGTCTGTTATTCCTGAGACTGTCGCCATTAAGAAGCATTGGCCCTGCTTTATGCATAAATGCCGCCCTGAGTTTTCGGAGAAAGGCGGCATATAAATTGAACTAGATAAATAAATAAATAAATTATTTCTGCCTTCTGTCCTCATCCCCACAGGGCAAAGCAACCTCCTTGTCTTAATCCGAAAGAAAGAGTAGCAGCGTTTCCTTGATTGGCTAATATTTTCTTCGGAAAGGATCCAACACCTGTTGCTGTATATTATTACAGCTGTGTGGATTGAAGAGGGAGAAGGAGAAGGCAACTAATCCAGGCGACAAGTCGAAGTCCAGACGGTGCGATTTGAACTGGCGGTATGCCGCGGACGAGCATCTGCATCTAATATTCGGGGTTCTGGCTTTAAAAGGGTACATCTATCTACCTATGCATGTGGGTTTTGAACGAAACTTCAGAGCCGCAACTGCTGATGACTGTGTGGATCCATCCGCATGTTGGGTTCGGCGGTCCCCGGGGCTGACGGAGAGCAACGTTCGGCTGTAGTCCAATTCGGCTGCCTTGCATGGTTTTGCCTGGATAGGAAAGGAAACTATTTTTGGATGACTCTTTGATGTTGAGTCAGCACCAGCCTCTGAAAAGCCCCGCTTCGGCTCCCTGAGTGAGAGCTGCCCTTTTGCTGGTTTATGCGAGAAATTAAACACAGCAATGAAGGTGGAAAGGTATTTGCTTTGATTATTGAAATACACTAACCGTAGGTCTTTAGTGGGTTTTCCCTTGCTGGATAAAAGTGAACAACAGGTGAACAATTCGGGAGGGGATTGGGAGGGGGGGGGAACCCTGCCTGTTTGCAAGCCAGTTAATGGATTTAGAGAAAGGGCAGGTGGCATTTTTATTCCTATTTAGTAGCAAAGGCTATCGTTATTATGGAAGGTGCATGGATTTGCGTGTAGCAGGGAGCCTTGCTGGCATGCTGTATGTCTTTCTATAGAGATCCATTGTCCACAAGGACTGTGCAAATCCCTTGAAAGCAATTTATAGCATAGACAAAGTGCCTGCAGAGCAGGGGTGAAATCCAGCAGGTTCTGACAGGTTCTGGAGAACCGGTAGCGGAAATTTTGAGTAGTTCAGAGAACTGGCAAATACCACCTCTGGCTGGCCCAGAGTGGGGTGGGAATGGAGATTTTGCAATATCCTTCCCCCAGGAGTGGGGAGGGAATGGGGATTTTGCAGTATCCTTCCCCTGGAGTGGGATGGGAAGGGAGATTTCGCAGTATCCTTCCCCTGCCATGCCCACCAAGCCACGGCCACCAAGCCACGCCCACAGAACCGGTAGTAAAAGAAAATTGAATTTCACCACTGCTGCAGAGCCTCACTTTTTCACTCCAAGCAGCTGTGTCTTTTTTTTTTTCTCCTAGACTCACAGAGCTGCTTCCTAAGTGTAAATTACAACTGATTGTAGCTCTAGCGGACAGAGGTGTCCCTGCAGAGAGATCTACTCTCGGACAGAGCTGCCCTTATAAAGCTGATTTCAACCGATTTGAAAAGAGGTCCCTCTGTTATTATCGAAATCCTACCGTCTACCCTCATAGGATTCTCATCCGTGGCTGTGTGACATTCCTGTTCACAGAAACTGAACTGCGTAGAGTTCCCAGACATGTATTTGAATTAATGGTGCTGACAATATAGCACTGTGTGTAGCTGTATATGCATTGCAGTTCTTAGATGGTGGGCAGGTCTTATACAGGATGTGTGAGAAGGACCTTGGCTGAGGAGAGGATCAGCAAAACTCAGTCTGTGCTCTTGAAATCGTTTGATTGGTTGGCTCCAATTAAGAATCACAAGGATATTTAGCAGAGGTGGTATTCAGCCGGTTTAGTCCGGTTCTCTCGAACCGGTAGTGGAAATCGTAGGTGGGCCCTCCCGCCCACCCCAGCTTTATGCCATCCTATTTAGGCATGTTTTTGATGCCGGGCGCATGTGTGGAAGGCACGTGCGCCAGCAAAGCACATGCACAGAAGGTCGGGCGCACACATTAACATTTGCGAACCAGTAGGGAAAGTAAGTGAATACCATCCCTGATGGTTAGGCATGGACCTTCTTTCCTGTCTTCTATCTGTAAGACGAATGTCCTGGTGAGGTGAGATTGGACTTCCCTGCCCCCAAAATTCCCGCCCTAATCCTCCAAATAGGACCTAATTACTAATTTCTCACAGAAGATGCTGCCAACAAATCATCATTCCAGGGCATTATCGAAGTGTTAACAAGCAATTAGATCCTGTCCCTAGAAATCCTCAAAGCATTGCTCTGTGCTGATAGTCGAGAAGCCCACCAGGATCCAAGAGAAACTCCCTCAAACCTGAAACTCACCCTCTTTCTTCTCTATGATACTCCACTCTAATCTGTTTCTGCAAATATAAAGACACTAATTTGGAGTGTCTGTGGTTATAGTAAACCCAAATAGAGGGTAGCTGTACATGAAATGCATTACGGTCTTCTAGAAGACTTCTCTGAAGGCCTTTCAATCAGATATTTTCATTGGCTGTTTCCTCATTCTGGAATCACCTCACATTAGAGGTTTGCCAAAGTTCTTGTCTGGGCATGTATAAAACACCATCTTGCCTTTTTTAAAAAAAATGCATTGCTCAAGTTTTTATTTAGAACATTAACTAAATATCGCATTTTGTTTTGATAAATACATGAAGTATATTTTTATGTATCAACACAATCTCTGGAATGGAGGAAAGGAAAGTTATCTGTTTTGTTAATTTAATGCTAATTTAATTGAAGGGTTTACATCTCATCTTTCATTCGGAATTTTCAGGGTGGTTTGGAAAATGTTCCAAATATATTATAGAAGATTAGAAGCATGTGAAATCTGTACAAGTGCCCTAACATTCTTTAAAAGAAAATGACAGCCAAATAAAGCAGATAAACTTTAGTTAAATGGACTGGAAGATTAGATAGATAGATAGATAGATAGATAGATAGATAGATAGATAGATAGATAGATGATAGATAGATGGATGATAGATAGATAGATAGATAGATGTGACAAATAAATGTACAAAGCAATATCAATGCACTATAGGATGAAGCCTCTTCATTGGTAGTACAGTGGTCTAAAGCACCCTGTTATTAAGACCAGCTGCCTGCAATTACTGCAGGTTCGAATCTCGCCAGGCTCAAGATTGACTCAGCCTTCCATCCTTTCTAAGGTAAGTAAATTGAGGACCCAGTTGTGGGGGCAATAAGCTGACTTTGTATAAATATACAAAAGGATGAAGGCTATTGCTTAGCGCATTGTAAGCCGCCCTGAGTCTCCGGAGAAGGGCGGCATATAAATCAAATTTTTTTAAAAAAATTGGAGTTTATGGACTGTAATCTATCATTCTTGCCCAGGGTGGGTTGATGGACAGATGCTTTTTGACTTCAGAATCTAGAGCTGAGAAAGAATGACTGTCCCAAAGTCAGCAAGCCAGTTTTCATGACTCAGCGAGGACTAAAACCTTGACCTCGCTATTTCTAGTCCATCACCATAACTACGGTAGTACCCCCACATTGGCTCTTACAAAATATGTGGCTGTGGGTCTGTTCACTTATTTTTCAAATTAAATTGAAATTTAATTTTATTTGTATTTTAGTTACTTCTGTAAGTTGAGTTTCTAGTTTAGAAGGACCTCAGTTAGTGGAATAGAAATTATTTTTCCTTGATACTCTAGAAACTGCAGAGAATCCCAAAAGACCTGGGCAGATCACTCAGTGGTATAAAACAGTTATATTGAAAGAAAGAGAGAGAGAGAGAGAGAGAGAGAGAGAGAGAGAGAGAGAAAGAAAAGGAAAGAAAGAAGGAAGGAAGGAAGGAAGGAAGGAAGGAAGGAAGGAAGGAAGGAAGGAAGGAAGGAAGGAGGGAAGGAAGATTAGTGTGAAAGGTCAGTTATGCTACTATATAATTTCTTCTTAGCAGATTTTTTTGGAAAAATCTTTCTGACTCATTTTGCAATTCTCTGCAGGCAAAACATGTGCTATACCGCTATCTATGAGTCCCCCCCCCAAATTAAAAACATACCTTATGCTGAAGCAGCTTATCAACATCTGGCCAGCTGCCAGCTGCTTTCTGATATTTTTTTCAATTCTGACACTTCCTTTCACTGGAAAAGAATGTGGGACAAGCCTGCATTATGGGACAAAAAAATACAGCTCTGCGTACAATTTAAACGTTTCTCACACGACTGCTAATTATCCCCCATGCAAAAATCCGTTCCTCCCCCTTCTTTTTCTCAATTCCAACTCCTCTCCTTCTGCGTCTCCCTCATCACCAGCCGGAAATGTTAACCTGAGCCCAGTAAAAAAATAAACAAATTACATTTTAATTTTGAAAAATACCTGAGGGATCATAACCACTACCCCTTCTGCTCTCAATATATGTGCATAGATGCACTGGAAAACTTGAAGCTGAGAAAGATCCTAGATTAAGCTTGATAAAAAAAACAACATGATTTTGTTTCCTATTTGATGTTTGCAAATATGTTCAAGACATGCTAAACATTGTTTTCCACTGCAATAGCTCTGTTTGTGGTCTAGTTTTTAAATAATTAGATAAAGCTGAATACAGTTAAACATTTACCTTTTAGGTCAGTATGGTTAAATATTCACACACCCCTGCTGTTCCTTTCCTTTTTACCTGCCAATAATTCTATTGGATTTGTGTTCTGCCTGTGGTATTTTCCAATTGCTTCCTTTAAGAGCAAGTCATTCCAAGTCTCTACAATCGGGAGCAATTGGTCATTCCTAATACAGAAGCAGAGTTGAGGGGCTGTCACAGAGAGGAGGGGGTCAACCTAATTTCCAAAGCACCCGAAGGGCAGACAAGGAACAATGGATGGAAAGTGATCAAGGAGAGATTCAGCCTAGAAATAAGGAGAAATTTTCTGACAGTAAGAACAATTAACCGGTGGAGCTGCTTGCCTTCAGAAGTTATGGGTGCTCCATCACTGGAGGACAGCCATCTGTCTGAAATGGTATAGGGCAGTGATGGCTAACCTTTTTGCTATTGCGTGCCAAAAGCGGGGAGAGTGCGGTTGGGGGTCACACACATATGTGTCCACATCCATAATTTTATGCGCCTCCCCTATGCTCCCCCTGCTTTTGGCACGTAATGACACGGTAGGCCCGGTAGGCCCATTTTTCGCTCTCTCCAGGCTCCAGAGCCTTTCTAGGAACCTGGGGAGGGCAAAAACGGCCTTCCCCACCCCCTCAGAGGCCGGAAACAGTGTGTTTCCTGACTTCTGGTGGGCCCAGAAGGCCTGAAAATCAACTGGCCGGCGCACACATGCGTGCCAGAGCTGAGCTCGCGTGCCCACCAATATGGCTCGACGTGCCACCTGTGGCACCCGTGCCATAGGTTCGCCATCACGGGTATAGGGTCTCCTGCTTGAGCAGGGAGTTGGACTAGATGACCTATAAAGGTCCCTTCCAACTCTGTTATTCTGTATACCAACATACAGAATAGGTGCATTATTGCAGTTCTGTGTTTTCTAATGTTCTGACCTTGTCTATTTCCAGTCATTGTAATTCTGTGGTCTTTGCATCAGATATGGCAGATATGATCGGAGATATTCTAATGTCAGAAACATGACAGCTCTTTCCTAATACTAGCATAGCAAGCATTTAGGCTTATATACGTACCCATATATGGAGCGTCCCATTTACAGCATTCTAAGGGCAGTTTACAATGTAAGCATTATTTGCATATTACCCCCAAACAATCTGGGTCCTCATTTTAAAGGCTTTGGAAGGATGGGAGGCTCAGTCAACCTTGAGCCCCGTCAGAATCGAATTCCTGTCTGTGGGCAGTTTGCCTGCAATACTGCACTTTAACCACTGCGCCACCGGTGGTTAAAATTTCCACCAAAATTTCCCTTGATAAGCAAGGAGGTTTTTAAGTGTGTCTTGCCCAATTTTACAACTGTTTTGGCACGGTTGATAAGGCCACCGTTTCAGTTGTTAAGTGAGTCGCATGGTCATTAAGTGAATACGATTCCCCCATTGACTTTGCTTGTCGGAAGCCAGCTGGGAAGGTCGCAAATGGCGGTCACATGACCCCGGACCCCATGCTGCAATCATTGTTAAATATATGTCAGTTGCCATATATTAATTAGGGCATCTTTCGGAAACTTGACAACATCTGCATTTTGATCATATGACCGTGGGGATGCGACAGTCATAAGTATGAGGACTGCTGGAAAGTCACTATTTTCAGTGCTATTATAAATTTGAACGGTCGCTAAAGAAATGGTTGTAAATCAAGGATTACCTGTAATGTAAAGTGTCTCTGTCAATTTTCTATTTCGGTGAGTTAAGGTCATTTCTAGTTAATGCACAAATGCAGCAAAATTCCCATATCTCCAAAAGTATAAGTTGCATTAATGATTCAACTTCTTTGCTGCATTTCTAATCATCCTGTGGATGGGAGGTAGATACAGTAATTTATTTGTGCCTCTGGGGTTCTGAGTGATTAGAAAAAATTATCAGTCCTTGTTACAGAAACTCAGCTGTATCCAGTGGTGGGATTCAAATAATTTAACAACCGGTTCTCTGCCCTAATGACCGGCTGGGTGGGTGTGGCCACGGTGGGGTGTGCCCAGGGGGTATGACAGGCAGCACTCTGCCACCTGCACCCCCCTGGGAGCAAAAAACGAGTTGCGGGGGTGGTGGTGCGAGCCCGCTGCACCCCGTTTTGGGCCTAGTAGGCCTCCCTGCAGCCTCCTGGGAGCAAAAACGGGCCGCGGGGTGACTTCTGGAAGGGGCGGGAAGGGGAGGGGTGGGGCCAGCCAGCAATTTAACAACCGGTTCTGCGGAAGTGGTGTGAACCGGTTGAATCCCACCACTGGCTGTATCTCTAAAGTTTGCGTTCTCTGAACTCACGCAGAGAGGCATACATTTCTTAGGATGCAGCTTTTTTTTAACATAGAGGAGTGAAATGCATGTCTGGTTTGAATGTGTAAGGAACGTGGAGTTTTCTTTCAGCTGTTGGGACTAGAGAAATACATGTTCTAGAACAAGGAGTCTCCAACCTTAGCAACATTGCAACTTGTGGACTTCAATTCCCAGAATTCCTCAGCCAGCGCTGGCTGAGGAATTCTGGGAGTTGAAGTCCACAAGTCGTAAATTTGCCAAGGTTGGAGACCCCTTGTTCTAGAGCAGGGGTGCCAAACTCAAGACCCAGGCGCCAGATCCGGCTCACGGGGTGCTTAGCTCTGGCCTGCGGGGCCGCCCTGGAAACAGCGAAGGACTCGCCTGTGGTGCCTCTGCCACGCACAGCCCTCCCAGACTCCGTTTTCGGTCGCAACAGCCTCCTGCAGCCCTCTGCCAGTGAAAATTGAGACTGAAAATTGAGCTCGGAGTCCCGTTTTTGCTGCAGAACACTTAGGCCACCACAGGCGCCCCCCACCCGACACAAGTGATGTCAAGCTGGCCATGCCCACCCTGGCCACACCCACCCTGGCCCCCCGAGGTCAAACACAACCCTGATGCGGCCCTCAATAAAATCGAGTTTCACACCCCTGCTGTAGAGAAATACATAATACTATTTAGCATGGAGTGAGGGCATGTGTATTTACATTGTATGGACAATTATGGCCAGACTTCCATGTTTATATATATATATATTTAAGAAACTGCGGGATTAACTTAGTCTTTAACTAAAGAACATGGTTCCTTAGCTTACCCAAAGTTTTAACATATGATTTTTATACTAGAACCTTCCCAGGTGCATTTTTAGAACCCAGGGATATTTGCCGTTTTAAATTGGATGGCAGGACCTTAGCAAGTGTGAGGGACATGGTTTTGGGGATGGGTCTTCTTGAGGACTTGGGTTACAACCCAAGTTGCAAGTTTGGAACTTATTGTTTAATGTTGATCAAAATACAAAAACTAATAATAATGGAAAGCCAGTTTTGGTCTAGCGATTAAGGCACCAGGAAATTGTGAGTTCTAGTTCACATCTTAAGGCATGAAAGCTCGCTGGGTGACTATGGGCCGATTAACAGAATACCGACTTCTTGTCCCGTCTCAGGCATGAAAGCTGGTTGGGTAACTTTGGACCAATCAACAGAGGACAGTAAATTCTAGTCCCGCCTTAGGAACGAAAGCCACCTGGGTGACTTTAAGCCAATCATTCTCTCTCAGCCCAATCCACCTGACAGGATGATTGTTGTGGAGAATATAGTACGGGGAGGTGTATTAGATACGTTCATCGCCTTGAGTTATTTATAAAAATAATAAAGGCAGGATTTAAAAAAAAATTATTCAGATTCACCTACGTTGCACAGCTTAAATGTTGAAAAAGGAAAAAAAAACAGCCTCGTCTTTATTAAACTGTGCTTGGCTGATTAATGTTTTGATAGTTCGCCAAATCAGAATGGCATTTCCCAGTCTGGAAGCGGGCCAGCATACTAGATTTCATATCCCTATTCTTAGAAAACTGTGCGGAGGCTTTAAGGATGACTGTGCAGGCGAGGCTTGGGTTTTATGTATCCAAGTGTGAATGAAGCATTTCAAGTGAGGGAAACTCAACTGCTATTTAAAAACCTGAGAAAATTCTTCTCCAAAGCCTTTCTGGTTTTTTTCCAAAGGGAGTTCTAGATTTTGAATAAAGATATAAAAGAAATGGAAGAAAAAGGGGGGGGGGAGGGGAATGTCCAAAATGTATTTATTGTTTTTTGTAATAAATAAATAAATAAATAACATGGAAACTTGCAAAAATAGACAAGAGCAAGTTGGAAAAGAATGTCTTCTCAAAAAACCAACTAGCTTTGGTCTATTTCTGCCCAATCAATCATGTACTATGACTTTTTGTTCCCAAACAAGACTTCAGCTAATTAGATTATCCATATAAATTGAATTCAATAAATAAATAAAATCCACCTATCTTGTCTCTGTTTCCCATTTATGCAGTTCCCTTGTCTATGGTAGACTTTCCGTTTTCCTCCTCCTCCTCCTCCTCCTCCTCCTCCTCCTCCTCCTCCTCCTCCTCCTCCTCCTCCTCTCCCCCCTCCTCCGTTTTCCTGCAATTCCAGGGCCAACAAATGCCATCTTGCATGATTAAACTCAGCATCTGGATCCAACTGGGCATTTTTCACATCCATATTTATTGTATCTTGCCATCTTTGCTTTGGCCTTCCACGTAGTTGCTTGCCATTTATATATTCTGACCTAGGCTTCCTTAGAAAGTATACAGCACAATCTTAGTCCCAGCAAACTCTCTTTTATTCATACGGCTGTGAATTATTGTCATTCCCAGTCCGAAAGGCTTCTCAAACAGTCTTTCAAGGGAGTGTTTACAAACACCCACCTTATCTCATTTGGAATGCTGCCAGAGAACTAATTGCCACACGCAGGGCAAGACCAAACTTAGCACAGAGTCAAACAGAACTTTCCCAGAGCTTTTACCGACCAGATGAACTAATTGCTTCCTGCAAAAGCTCACATCCTGTTCGCTTCTCTTTTATGTCTTATGGGAGAGGCTAATCATCTCCAAGCCTTACTCCCAAGTCGACCCTGTTTTCTTAATTGTTCCTGTCTTCTGGCAGCTCTGCGCATGCTCACACTGGGAACAGGCTCCCACTGTTCTTCTGCCTCGCTGATGTCAGACTCTGGAGACTCCGGAGGCAGCAAAGAACTACCAGATGGCCTTGACCCCCCTCTCTGCCTCCGACTCAGAACCCTCGTCCGAGCCTTCCCCAGACTCCAGGACTGGCCCATGTTGTTCCCCAACCTCCTCACTGTCCGAATCTGCTGCCAGCTCTGCTGGCCGCTGGTGGGCCACAACATTATATTAAAGTGGACGGCAATGTAGGTTACGGTATGGGGGTGCTGCTTGTAGAACATAGTCGTACCACTGCAGGCTTGTCTCCCTTATTTTTTCTCTGAGATTGGCACACTGCCCATTTGTGTGTCATTACTAATGACCAACGAGGCATGCACATCTCCATGGCGTATAAAGAGCATTCAACACATTTGGTGATTGGCCAGCACTCAGCACCATCTCAAACTGCTGGGCACACTTATCTCCATTCCCAAAGACTCAAAAATCAAAGTTGTGTCACTGCTATCTTCCCATGGATTCTAGGAAAGATTGCAAGTATTCAAGCCACCCAACATGTGACTGAACTTCATCTCTAGGTATTTTTTTAAGATGAGCAAAATGATATAGACGGCATTAAAATACCAACTAAATAGCTCTCAATGGTGCTAAAAGGCCTGTGTGTTATTTTTCCATCTGCTTAGCCAGAATACCAAGGGGGTGATATGGCCACAGGTCCTTGTGAGCAGTTGGAACAAAGTGAAGAAGGCCCAGATTTTGTGAAAGAGCGTCTCACCCAGGAGGAAGGCATTCACAATCATCTGAAAGAACACAATAAAAAAGGTAGGATTGTGTTCGGTATGTGAGTTGCGGTTTGTGTTGTTGTTTTATCATGCCTGCTAAGGAAAACATTACTTCTCAAATGTATTTACCATATGCCCCTTTTCCCCCCCCAAAAAGAGGGTGAAAATCTAGGTGCGTCTTATACTCCAAATGTAGCCCCGCCCAGCCTCGCAAACTGAGATTTCAGAGGCTGAAAGAAGCCTCTGAAAGAAGCTTCAGAAAAAAAAGCCTCAGAAACGAAGCTTCAGGAAAAAAAAGCCTCTGAAAGGCTTTTATCTAAAATAATATGGCAAGCAACAAAAGAAGAATCAGTAAAGGTTCTAACCAAACTATGCTAACAAATCTGGAGAATGACACAATAACCAACAGATCTGAAGAGGTTAATCTACATACCAATACCAAAGAAAGGAAATTGAATAGAGTACAAATAGTCCTTCAGAATAAAAGCCTCTGAAAGACGCTTCAGAAAAAAAGCCTTTTTTATCTGAAGCTCTGTTTCGGAGGCTTTCAGAGGCAGAAAAAAAAAAAGCAAGGCACAGAGCTCACAACCAAGGAACCTGTTGCTAAAATTCACCTCTGGAAACAACTGATTGGGGGTATTCCGGAGGCCGATCCACCCACCAATCAGCTTTTTTCTTCTTTTCCTCCCCAAAAACTAAGGTGCATCTTATACTCTGAAAAATATGGTAGTTAGAACAGGGCCCAGCAGATTTTTCAGACAGAGGTAGTCCTTGATTTAGAACCACAATTTGGGATCAGAACTTCTGCAAGGTGGCTGTTAAGTGACTTGTGTCCGATTTTATGGTTGTTAAGTGAATCACTTCAGATGTTAAGCAAATCAGGTGGGCATTAAGCAAATCCAGCTTCTCCCATTAAACTTTATCGGAACCTTTGTCAGAGGAGCTGTCACAAAGATGAGGGGGGTCGACTTATTTTCCAAAGCACCTGAGGTCAGAAGAAAAACTAATGGGTAGAAACCTATCAAAGAGAGAACCAACCTAGAACTAAGGAAAAGTTTTCTGACAGTGAGAACAATTCATCAGTAGAATGGCTTGCCTTCAAGTTGTGGGTGCTCCATCACTGGAGGTTTTGAAGAAAAGATTGGGCAGCCATTTGTCCAGAATATAAGGCAGTGTTGGCGAACCTGTTCGGCACCAAGTGCTGAAATGGGAGCATATGGGGGGGAGGGTTTGCCGGAAACCGGAAGAGCAGCTCTTTGGTGCTCCCGTGTGGGAGCGCCGGAAACCAGAAGAGCACTTCCCTGGCGTGCACATGTGCGCCAGAGAGCTGCTCTTCCAGTTTCCAGTGCTCCCACACACGTGAAGACCAGTTGGTCGGCACGCATGCCAGAACCCGGAAGAGCAACGGGCAACGGTTGGCGTGCCTGGAGAGATGGCTCTGTGTACCACTTCCGGCACGTGTGCTATAGGTTCACCATCACTGGTATAGAGTCTCCTGCTTGGGCAGGGGGTTGGACTAGAAGACCTCCAAGGTCCTGTTCTGTCCCCGTCTCACACACACACAGAAACAGATAGCCGGGGGTTAAATAAACTGGCAGACAACCAATTCTTCCGATAAGATGCTTGGCAGCAACCCAGTAGATAATGTTGTTTCCAAAGATGCAATGTGACTCGATAGTAGTTAGTTTTGTCCGTCACAGAGTCTGAATGGCCACCTCACCCCCTTTTATACCCTGTGGGGTGTGGTCCAGTGACTCAGCCTAATCTCGGGCACGCCTTTTCTTCTGTTGCGTGCACTTATCTCTGCGATGCTGCCAAGGATCCAGCCAAGACTCATTACCCTCATCACTGTCCACCTGTGGCTGCGTGGACGTGCTTGGCCCTGGCCCTATCTCTTGCCCTTCCGCGGACACCGAAGGCATTGCCAGAGAGGAGGGTCCTGGAGAGGGAGGCCTTGCCAACTCCTCTCCTTCACTCTCGGAGTCCTCTCCTGCCAATAACACAGGTTCAGGTAACGGAGCCACAACAGGTCCTTCCAATGCTATGATTCTAAGTTCTAAGATCTCAAAACCCAAGGATAATGTAAATCAGTGGGTTATCAGTGTGTTTATATAAATATCCCTTTATTGAGAGTGTACAAAGACACGGCCTCTTCATGCTTGCATGAAGAAACTCTATGAAAATTGCTCTGAGCTCACAAAAGAAAAGTGAAATATAAGCACAATAAATGAAAACCATGAATAAATGCAGGGATGGGTGTGTTTTAACAGATGCCAAGATACCTACAAGTCAAGAAGAAGTGAATGGCAGCACAAACGTAAGTAGCCGAGCGTTGAGGCATGTTTTAAAAGTTGCTTCACAAGACACCTCTGTCTCTAGGCCTTGAGGTATCTCTCCAAGTCTTAAAGAATCTGAATGTTTGCTTCCAACTCCTGATATTTGCCTCAAGACTGAATGATTATTACCGGTACATTATTATTTGTGATGGGCAACTAACTCTATCCAAATAAAGCAGCTGGGAAAGTGTATGACAGCAAGAGAATTTGACTTCTTGCTAAGACACGGGATTCAGTTGGTATCCTTCCCAAGATATCTGAGATGCCTGGTTTTCTATTATCATTATTATTTATGTAATTTTTACATTTATATGTCGCCTACCTCATTGTTGAGTGACTCTGGTTTTTTGCACCTCTGGATAGCACAAGTCGATCATTTGTGTTTGGTTCAGAACCTTCTCCCTAAACTTCTGAAAAAGACAAGAAGAACCATTGTCAGTTGGTCCAAATATTGTTGCCAAGCCAACTCCTAAATCTCCAGGCCAGCTGAGGACAAGCAGTCCTCCCAAGCTGAGTGCTGATGGACACATACACACCAGCCGCAGTCATTTGACCAAGTCATTTGCAACTTTGTCTTTCTTCTTGTCCTGGTTGTAGAAATCTTGAAAAGGCACTTCTTTGTCTCTTATTAAAATGTTTACTGGGTGTATCTTTATGAACGTTTAAAGCATTTCCTAAAGGTACTCGCCGTAGGAAGTTTGGGAAAGAATCCAACTTGTCCAATATTTAAAACTTGACAGAAGATCTCGTGAGGTGCAAATGTATGTATTTTTCCTTCCACTGCTATAATAAACTAGGTAACGAAGAATAAACTTTGATGGTGCATGTTACTTGAAGATCCAGTTTTCTTCAAAATGAAGAAAAGTTAAGCATTTAGAGTTGAGGTAAACACAGGAATTTAACAGAAGACAGCAGTCAGTGTAACAGGAGCTGATAGTAACTTCCTTGACCTGACTTGAAATGTTGGACTTGGTGATGGTCATGACACCATACATTTCAATTCCTACACGCTAGGCAGTTGAAATAGAGGAGAACTCACAAAGCAGAGAATTTTATCTGAGACAGAAAAAGTAGCCAAGGACACTGGAATTCCAGCAAAGCAGACCCACGAACAAACTCGCTTAAAAAGAAACTTATTGTCCGACCTATAATATGCAAAGAAAACCTATTCCTTGGCTCCTTGAATTTGAAAACACTTAACAAAAGCTTGACCTTCTCTCTGAGTCTCTCAGGCAAGATTGCTTTGTTCTGTAATAATAATAATAAGTAACATTAATAAATGCTATCCTGTGTACCCGTTAAAGTAAATCTCTTATTGTTTTCCTCATGGAAAGAAACTCTACAGAATTGGATTGTGGGATTGGATTTGGAAACGGAAGGGTCCAAATCAGTGGTGAAATCTAAAATTTGTTACTACCAGTTCTGTGGGCGTGGCTTGGTGGGGGGGTAATGTGACTGGGTGGGCATGGCCATTTTTTTTTTAACTTTTAAAGCCATTTTTTTCTACAACCTCTTCGGCGAAGAGGTTGTAAAAAAATGCTTTCAAAAGGCTCTGACGATCCCACTAGTTTGCCTGATCATCAGAGGGTTTTTAAAAAACTCTCTGCTGATCAGGCAACTCAGCTGGGATTGTCAGAGCTTGGATCGTCAGAGGCATTTAAAAAAGAAAAAAACTTTTTTCTTTTAAATGGCTCTGACGATCCAAGCTGATTTGCCTTGATCGCAGAAGGTTTTTAAAAACCTTCTTGGATCATCAGAGCCATTTAAAAGAAAAAAAGCCTCTGATGCGCGCGGCTCAGCTGGGCATGGGGGGGGGGCAGGGATTTTTGCTACCGGTTCTCCGAACCACCTGCCTCCATCGCTACCGGATCGGGCGATCCAGTCCGAACCGGGAGCATTTCACCCCTGGTCCAAATGCATTCACAACTACAAGTCTGGGTGGCTCTTTAATTAAGTTCATGCAACCCGAAGGTAGAACAAGAAGCAATGGAGGGAAACTAGTCAAGTTTCTAGTCAACCTAGAAATTAAGAAACATTTCCTGTCAGTGAAAATGATCAGTGGAATGACTAGCCTCCAGAAGCTGTGGATGCTCCATCACTGGAGGTTTTAAGAAAAGATTGGACTACCATTTGCCTGAAATGATATAGGTCCATGATGGCGAACCTTTTCGGCACCGAGTGACCAAACCAGAACATGCATGCATGCACGTGTATGTGTGCACGTGTGTGTGCCAGAGCACCAGAAATCTGAAGACCAGCTGGCTGGTGCTTGCATGCCAGTGGTGGGTTGCTCCCGGTTCGCACCAGTTCGCAATAACCGGTAGTAAAAATTTGTAGTAATTTGGAGAACCGGTAATAACATTGGCTGGCCACGCCCCCGAACTGGTCCCCGGCCCGGTCGCCGCTCGCTTACACTGCTCACCTCATCAGAGCCTTTTTTTTTTCACTTTTAAAAGCATTTTTTCTACAACCTCTTCGGCTGAAAAAATGCTTTTAAAAGTAAAAAAAAAGGCTCTGATGATCGTGGGGCTCAGCTGGGATCGTCAGAAGAGGTTGTAGGGGGGGGAAATGCCTTTAAAAGCCTCTGGCAATCCTAGCTGAGTTGCCTGATCATCAGAGGAGGCTTTTAAAAGCATTTTTTTCTGCAACCTCTTAAGGTTGTAGAAAAAATGCTTTGAAAAGTTAAAAATAAATAAAGTTGGCCACGCCCACCCAGTCACATTACCCCCACCAAGCCACGCCCACAAAATAAGCCATGCCCACAGAACCAGTAATAAAAAATTGTTTTTTGGCTGTTTTCAGGCTGTTTTCCGGGACATTTTTTTTCAGGATGTTTTCTGGGCTGTTTTCCCAGGCCGTTTTTGGGGCCGTTTTCAGGCCAGTTTTCAGCCATTTCTGGGCTGTTTTCAGGCCGTTTTTGGGGCCGTTTTCAGGCCAGTTTTCAGCCATTTCTGGGCTGTTTTCAGGCCGTTTTTTGGGCTGTTTTCAGGCCATTTTCCAGCACTCTTGCACCCGCAAAGACCAGTGCCTACAAGGATAGGAAAATATGGGATGTTTTTAAAGAGATCAGAGAAATTATGAGAAAATTTCCGGCTAAGGCAGGGCTACTCAAAGCTACCAAATCATTGTTACCGTTCTCTTTCAGGGCCTAGCGGAGGAACAGAAAGACACCCTCCACACTGTTGAGAAAGATCTTGATGAATTTGTGGATAGCATGAGTGAAGCCTCGCCATCTGGGCTTCCTAAGAAATCACCCGAAGCAGAGAAGCCTCTGTTGACCAAGATGGCCGCTGCTAAATTGCCTCGGGCCCAGCAAGTTGCAGAAAAAGTCCTGAGGGCTGAAAGGGTGGGGGAGAGAGCCCAACGGGTAGAAAAACCACCAGTATTGGAAAAGACGATGGAGAAAGTGCCAAGGGGCGAAAAGGCACCGCAAGTGGAGAAGGCGGTACGGGTAGAGAAGGCAGTTGAGAAACCACACCTAGCAGGTATGACTTTTCTCTGAGCCAATAAAGCTTTATGTTGGAGAGGCCACAGAGATGCCACGGGCAAGAATGGAAGAGCAGGCTTAACCCTGGTTTCTTGTAGGGTGGGGATTTCCAGGGATTTTTGGTTTAGAGCAGTTTTTCCAGATCTGGGCAACATGCAGACATGGGGGAAACTCCCAAAAGCCTCAGCAATTTTCATCGCAGGCGGGAATTCTAGGAGTTGAAGTCTAAAGATTTGCAGGAGGCTTTTCTTGGGAAGATTGATTTGCAAGAGGCAATTTGTAGGGACAAAGGGGATGATTTATAAAATGATATACGATGGGGGGGACAGAGAGAAAAAGAAAGAAATTCCTCCCTCTCTCCCTCTCTCTCTCTCTTCTGCTCTTTTCCTCCCTCTCTCCCTCCCCCTCTCTCTCACCCTCCCCCTCCCTCCCTCTCTCCCTCTCTCCTTCCTCTCCCTCCCTCTCTCCCTCTTTCTCTCCCTCCCTCTCTTTCTCCCTCTCTCGCTCTCTCACTCTTTCACTCTCTTCCTCTTCCTCTCCCCCTCCCTCCCTCTCTTCCTCTTCCTCTCTCTTCCTCTCTCTCTCCCTTTCCCTCTCTCTCTCCCCCTCTCTTCCTCTTCCTCTCCCTCTCCCTGTCTTCCCCCCTCTCTTCCTCTCTCTCCCTCTCTCCCCCCTCTCCCTCTCTTCCTCTTCCTCTCTCTCCCTCTCCCTGTCTTCCCCCCTCTCTTCCTCTCTCTCCCTCTCTTCCTCTCTCTCTCTCCCTCTCTCCCCCTCTCCCTCTCTTCCTCTTCCTCTCTCTCCCTCTCCCTCCCTCCCTCTTTCCTCTTCCCTCGCCACTCCCTGTCTTCCCCCCCTCCTCCCACCTCTCTCCCTTCTCCCCCTGGTCACTCCATCTCTTCCCTTCCTCTCTCTCCCTCTCCATGTCTTTCCAGCCTCTTTTTCCTCTCTCTCTCCCTCTCTCTTTCTCCCTCCCCCCTCTCCCTCTTCCACTCTCTCTCCTCTCCCTCCCTCCTTCCTCTCTCCTCTCCCTATCTCTCCCTCCTCTTCCTAGTCCTCTCTTTCTCTTCCTCTTCCTCTCCCTCTCCCTGTCTTCCCCCTCTCTTCCTCCTCCTCCCTCTCTCCCCCCCCCCTCTCTCTCTTCCTCTCCTCTCTCCCTCCCTCTCCCTGTCTTCCCCCTCTCTTCCTCTCCCTCTCTCCCCTCTCTCTTCTCCTCCCCCCTCTCTCCCTCTCCCTCTCTCTCCTCCCTCCCTTCCCTCTCACTCCCTCTCTCTCTTCTCCCTCCCCTCCCCTCCCTCCCTCCCTCTCTTCCTCTCCTCTCCCTCCCTTCTTCCCCCCTCTCTTCCTATCCCTCTCTCCCTCTCCCTCCCTCTCTTCCTCTTCCTCTCTCTCTCCCTCTCCTCTCTCCCCCCCCTCTCTTCCCTCTCTCCCCCTCTCTCCTCTCTCTCTCCCTCCCTCCCCCTCTCTCTTCCACTCTCTCCCTCCTCTTCCTCCTCTCCCTCTCTCCCCCTCTCTTCCTCTTCCTCTCTCTCCCTCTCCCTCCCCCTGTCCCCTTCCCCCCTGTCTTCCTCTCTCTCCCTCTTCCTCTCTCCCTCTCTCTCTCTCCTCTCTCCTCCCTCCCTCTCTTTCCCACTCTCCCTCTTCCTCTCTCTCCCTCTCCCTCCCTTTTTCCTCTCTCCTCTCTCTCCCTCTCCCTCCTCTTTCCTCTCTCCCTCTCCCTCTCTCTCTCTCTCCCTCCCTCTCCTCTCTCTCCCTCTCCTCTCTCTCCCCCTCTCCCTGTCTCTCCCCCCTCTCCCTCTCTTCCTCTTCCCTCTCTCCCTCTCCCTGTCTTCCCCCCTCTCTTCCTCTCTCTCCCTCTCCGTCTTCCCCCCTCTCCCTCTCCCTCTCTCCTCCCCCCTCTCTCCCTCTCTTCCTCTTCCTCTCTCTCCCTCTCCCTGTCTTTCCCCCTCTCTTCCTCTCTCTCTCCCTCTCCCTCCCTCTCTCCCTCTTCCTCTCTCTCTCCTCTCCCCTCCCTCCCCTCTCCCTCTCTCTCCCTCTCTCCCCCCTCTCTCCCTCTCTTCCTCTTCCTCTCTCTCCCTCTCCCTGTCTTCCCACCTCTCTTCCTCTCTCTCTCCCTCTCTCCCTCTCTTCCTTTCTCCCTCTCTCTTCCTCTCTCTCCCTCTCTCTCTTTCTCTCTCTCGTCTAATTAACGAGTGGAATGGGTTGCCTACAGAATGGGCACACCATCACCGGAGATTTTAAAGAAGAGATTAGGCAGTGATTTGTCCAGAATGGTACAGGTGGTCTTCGACTTACAACAGTTTGTTTAGTGACCTTGCAAAGTTACAACAGCAATGAAAAAAATGACTTATGACCGTTTTTTATACTTCTGGCAGTTGCAGCATCTCCATGGTCACATGATCAAAATCCAGGCGCTTGGCAACTGACTCAACTGAAGTCAGTGGGGAAGCCAGGTTCACTGAACAGCCCTGTTACTAATTTAACAACTGCAGTGACTCATTTAACAACTCTGGCAAGAAAGGTTGTAAAATGGGGCAAAACTCACTTAACAAATGTCTCACTTAGCAACTTAAATTTTGGAGGATTATAGTTGTCGTAAGTTGAGGATCACCTGTGTAGAGTCAGAGGGTTGGACTAGAAAAACTTCCAAGGTCCTTATACCTCTGTTATTCTGAATTCTGTTATTTTTCATAATTGATCCAAAGAGTGCTTGTATGTGGGCTGTATGTGGGCTTCTCTAAAGTTATGGCTCGGCCATGCAAAAAAAGGAAATGTGGCTTGAACTTTTATTATTATTATTATTAAAAATCCAATTGTAATATAAAATATAAATAAAAGCAAAGATAATAGGGAAATAGGAGGGAGAGAAAAGGTAAAGGAGTACAAGGAAAAGAAAAAAGAAGGAAAAAAATTAGGGACTTCCCATATTTTTCAGTGCCATTTAATACAAAACACAGTTACAGTCTCAACTTTTTTCTAAACATATTTAATAAATACTAGCCTTTTCTATAACAAACTAATCATCAAAACCCAAAATAATAATAATAAAAAAAATTCCTTCTCTTTCAAGCAAAGAGTCCAGAAGTGGTTTCCAAGCAAAAACAAAGCTGGTGACATTCTTTTCTTTAATTAGAATAGTTAATTTTGTCCGCTCTGTTGGCTCCATTTACTTTTTCCATTGGTTCCTCCCAGTGTGGGAATTGATGTATCTTGCCATAGCTCTGGCCTGAATTCCAATCCGGTGTTTATTGCAAAGATCACCTTCAAAAACACTCAGGAATCGGTGGCAAAAGACTTTATGGTGGGAAAGCCAATTTACTGTGCTAATGCCCTCCCTTTTCTCTGCTTGAAGCACCGAAGGTTATCTCTATGAAGCGGAAGACAGAAAGCCGAGCTGCTAAGGACACGCTGCCTTGGGAAAATCTGTCTTTGAACAAATGCATTCTGGTGGCAACTTTCCTGGCTCTCCTCAGTGTGAGCTGTCAGGTAGTTCAAGGTAAGAGAGAAGAGCACTTTCTCCTGGATATATGCCCCCCCCCTTCAGGGCAGTGGTGAAATCCAATTTTTTTTACTACCGGTTCTGTGGGCATGGTTTGGTGGGCATGGCAGGGGAAAGATACTGCAAAATCTCCATTCCCACCCCACTCCAGGGGAAGGATACTGCAAAATCCCCATTCCCTCCCCACTCCTGGGGGAAGGATATTGCAAAATCCCCATTCCCTCTCCACTCCTGGGGGAAGGATACTGCAAAATGCCCATTTCCCTCCCCACTCCTGCGGGAAGGATATTGCAAAATCCCCAGTCCCTCCCCACTCCTGGGGGAAGGATATTGCACAATCTCCATTCCCACCCCACAATTGGGGGAAGGATACTGCAAAATCCCCATTCCGTCCCCGCTCCTGGGGGAAGGATATTGCAAAATCCCCATTCCCTCCCCATTCCTGGGGGAAGGATATTGCAAAATCTCCATTCCCACCCCACTCCTGCGGGAAGGATACTGCAAAACCCCCATTCCCTCCCCACTCCTGGGGGAAGGATATTGCAAAATCCCCATTCCCACCCCACTCTGGGGCCAGCCAGAGGCAGTATTTGCCAGTTCTCCAAACTGCTCAAAATTTCCGCTACCGGTTTTCCAGAACCTGTCAGAACCTGCTGGATTTCACCCCCACTTCAGGGGTGGTATTCACTTACCTTTGCTACCGATTCGCAAATATGAGGGCCTTCTGCGCATGTGCAGAGCGTCAAAAACGTGGATAAATGGACGTGATTACGTCCAGGTGGGTGGCCGCTACCGGTTCGCCTGAACCGGATAGAACTGGCTGAATACCACCACTGCACCCCCTTCATCCCTCATCTAGCTGCTACCTCCATTGGCGATCATGCCTTAGGGAAAGGTGTTAAACTTGATTTCATTGAGGGCTGCATCAGGATTGTCTTTGACCTCGGGGGTGGGGTGGGGTGCGGGATGGGCATGGCCAGGGTGGGCGTGGTCATCTCAATGTCACTTGTGTCGGGGGTGCCTGTGGAGGCCCAAGAACTCTGCCCGCGAAAACTGGCTCCCGAGCTCCATTTTTGGCTGTGATGGCCTGCAACCCTCTTGACCTCAAGCCAGTTTGGCCTAGTGGTTAAAGCACCAGGCTAGAGACCAGGAGACTATGAGTTCTAGTCTGCCTTAGGTATGAAAGCCGGCTGAATGATCTTGGTGACCTTGGGCCAGTCATTTTACCTCAGCCCAACCCACTTGACAGGGTTGTTGTGGGGAGAATAGGAGGAAGCAGGAATATGAGGTATGCTCCAGTAGTGGGTTGCAAAACCTGTTGCTACTGGTTCACTTGTGCAAGCACGTGTGCTTGTGTGCGCGCGATGCTACTGCGCAGAAGCGTCCGGTGCAGGTGGGCGGAGCCTCCCACCGCCACCACTACCGGTTCACCAATCCAGGTAGAACCGGTAGCAAACCAACACTGGTATGCTTGCTGCCTTATTTATAAAAGTAATCAAGGCAGGATGAAAGCAAGCACAGAAATATATGCAGAAAAAAAGTTAATTTTAATACAGGCGCTTGTTCACCCTCCCATTTCTTTTACAGAGGTAATAGAATATGGTGGGGCTGTTCTTGAGGCGGAGCTGAGTGCCTGGACCACACAAGAAGGCAGTCCTGGGGAACAGGTGAGTTAAAAGTGGGAAGATTGAAATGAGGACCCAGATTGTTGGGGGCAATATGCTATTTAGTATACTGTCTTTATAAAGCCGCCCAGAGTCCTCGGAGAGTGGGCGGCATAGAAATATGACTAATAAAATAAATAAATAAAATAAAGATCAAAATAGTCCACAGTAAAACTCATTTCATAAGAGGGCAAAAAAAAAAAAAAAAACACACCTACTTTAAAAAGTTAACCTTAGGTTTAAATAAAACTGGAATTGCTTAAGAGACACCCAATTCTCCTGATCCAGGAGAATTGATCTATACCATTTCAGACAAATGGTTGTCCAATCTCTTCTTAAAAATTTCCACTGTTGGAGCATTCACAACTTCTGGAGGCAAATTGTTCCACTGATTAATTGTTCTGTCAGGAAATTTCTCCTTAGTTCTAAGTTGCTTCTCTCCTTGATTAGTTTCCACCCGTTGCTTCTTGTCCTGCCTTCAGGTGCTTTGGGGAATAGGTTGACCCCCCTCTTCTTTGTGGCAACCCCTGAGATATTGGAACACTGCTGTCATGTCTCCCCTAGTCCTTCTTTTCATCAAGCTAGACTAAAATGGCTCCAGGAGGACTCAAAGAGCATGTGAAGAGTCCTGTTGTATTACCCTTAAGATTAAACTATCCCAGGCCAGGACTTTTGAAGCCACCATATCATTATGAAAACGGTTGAATCTTTCTTTCTTTCTTTCCAGGAGGAGCTGTGGTTTTACGAACGGTGGTTTGATTGGTCGGACATGGATGAACCTCCTGAAATAGAGGAGGAGGAACTCCTGGAGGTAGAGGAGGAACTTTTAGAAGTCGAGGAAGAAGAAAAGGAGGAGGAGGAGGAAGGGCCTTTAGAGGATGGGGAAGACGGAGAAGAAGAGCCCGAACCAGTAGAAATCGAAGAGGAAGAAGACGAGGAAGAAGAAGAAACAGAGGAAAAAACAGTCCCAAAGGTGGGCCTCAAGAAAATCCAGGAGAAAATCAAACGAGAGACACCTTCCAAGAATAAAAGGCAGAAAGACCGCAAAGCTCAGGAGGAGGACAAAGAGAAGAAGCACCTTCGGGACAAGAGAGATCGCTGGGAAGGGAAGGGGAAGGGGAAGGAGAAGGAGAAGGAGAAGCAGGAGGACAGGAAGAAGACCCATCGCCACAAACACGGTGAAACAGCCCATCCATTGAAAGAGCATAAGGGAGAGCATCCCACACAGGATAAAAGAAGGGGGCACCCCAAGCATGAGCAAGGCAAAGGGAAAGGCCACGAGAAGGACAGGAAGCCCTGGCAGGTTCAGAAGCCTTTCTTTCCCCCACCCAAGGACAGTGGCAAGACATTTGGGCGGCACAAATCTCAGGAGTGGAAAAGGCACGACTGAGATTTAAGGACTGCTGATCTGAGGTCACTGCGCAAGCAATATGCTTCTCTCTCTCTCTCTCTCTCTCTCTCTCTCTCCCCTGCGCATCCTTTCCCTGAAAGTGTGGGGACACAAAGACACCCAGATTTGAAGCTGGGTGACTCCTGTTGAGAGGCAAGTTTGGCATCTTCCAGGTTGGAAGCAGATGCCTTGTCTATGCCTTGCTGTGACCCTTTGGTAGTGGTGGCACCGCCAACCCCAAGTTCCGGTGCCACCGGAAACAGGAGGGGAACAGGAGTCACTGTTGTGACCCAGGCCCACGTAGTTGATATTAAATGCAAAACCGTTCCAAAAAACAAGCAGATTTTATTAAAACAGCTGAGAATTAACTCATTCTCAGCATATTCTAAATGAAATGAAAGCAAAGTCCTCAAAACACCAGTCTTTAATTTATCTCTGACCTTGGGATAATTAGGCAAACTGCCAAAGGCTTTTCTTGGCAACAGTTCAGGAACAGAAGAAATAACTACAGCCAAACAAGAAGCAATTCTCTCAACGGTTGTTTTCCGGCAAAGAGGCCAAGAACCGTTGCTGGTCTTTCAAGCCTTATGGGAGGGGCCAATCATCTCTTGGCCTTACTCCAGAGTCGCCCTCTCTGCTTTAGCTGCTTCTGCCTTCTGGCAGCTCTTCTCATACATGCACTAGGAACACTCCTCCTGTTCCTCTGCCTCTCTACTGTCAGCCTCTGGAGGCTCCGAAGTCCGCACATCACTCCCCGATGGCCCTGGCCCCATCTCTGCCTCCAACTCAGAGCCCTCATCCGGGCCTTCCCCAGCCTCCAGGACTGGCCCCTGTTCTTCCTCAGCCTCATCGCTGTCCGACTCCGCTGCCAGCTCCGCAGGCTGCTGGTGGACCACAACAGTCACTTAGCCAGATCAGCCTTACCTGCTCCACCGCTCCCACAGAGTAACTTTAAACAGTAACAGAGTTGGAATGGACCTTGGAGGTCATCTAGTCCAACCCCCTCCTGCTCACGCAGGAGACCTGTACTAGGGATTCGAACCGCCAAACTGCCATCATTGAAGAACCTCAAAAAAGCACCTCCTTCCTTCATTTGTGCTTGACCTGCCCAGTTATCTCCTCACGAAGTGCTAATGTTTGTTTCATAACAAAGAAGCCTTGAACGTTTATACTGACCTCAATCCCTGACTTGAGAGAGCCTCACAGACACACACAAGGTGGCCTTATTGCCCAATCCCTAATTATACACATGATTTGCAGCAGGAAATGTGTGAACTGCCTCTCTTGTACACAACTGCGTGTTTTCTTTTTCTTTTTTTGAGCTGATACCAAAGCTGTGTGTTTAAAACTGGAATTCTTCATTCAGAAGTGCAGCAAAAGAGTATGTATGCTGGAATGGACCTTAGATGCTTTTAGCAACTCCCATACCTCAATTAATAGATTACATCTCATTTTTATTTTTGGTCACTTTTCAAGAGAAAAGAAAGACTGCTCCTCAGAGTTGCTTCTTTCCTATTTTGTGGGAAAAGTGGATTTTTTCCCCCCGTGTTGCACAAAATGAAGCCTATCCAATGTGAAAGCTAAACCAGCTCTGATTCTTCTTACGATATAAATGTTACCCCGGAGAAATCGTAGCAAGTAATCAGCCAGATTGGGGAAAATTAATGATAATTTCAGAAATAAATGTTGGCTGTGAACTCCTTAAAATATTTTCATGTTATAACATAAGGAATAAGATCAGGGGTGAAATCCAGCAGGTTCTGACAGGTTCTGGAGAACCAGTAGCAGAAATTTTGAGTGGTTCGGAGAACCGGCAAATATTACCTCTGTCTGGTCCCAGAGTGGGGTGGGAATGGAGATTTTGCAATATCCTTCCCCAAGGAGTGGTGAGGGAATGGGGATTTTTTTTAAAAAAAAAATTGATTTATATGCCGCCCTTCTCCGGAGACTCAGGGCGGCTTACAATGCGTTAAGCAATAGCCTTTATACTTTTGTATATTTATACAAAGTCAGTTTATTGCCCCCACAAACTGGGTCCTCAGTTTGCTGGAGGTCCGCAGTGTTTACACCTGCAGTATCCTTCCCCTGGAGTGGGGTCGGAATGGAGATTTTGCAGTATCCTTCCCCTGCCACGCCCACCAAGCCACGCCCACAGAACCTGTAGTAAAAAAAAATTGGATTTCACCACTGAATAAGATCCACAGTCCACAATACAATCCTTGGTATTCTTGGTGGGCTATTATTTTGGCTTTTTTTGAGCTGTAAAAACCAACTTTTATGTGAACTGAAAGACTTGGTCCAAGAAAATTTGTATTTCTTCTACATATATAGAAGAGTTACACTAAGCTCAAAGAAATGATGGAATAGAATTGGACACTTCGCGTTGTGTCGCATCCAGTTAGCCGGGATGAGTTGGCTGGAGTGAGACAGCCGCGGTAGAATGGCTGTGGTGAATTGTCCCATTCCGGAACTAGGGAGGGTCAATTCTGAGATTAGGAAAGGTATTTTCTGAGATATTTTCTTACACACACACACACACCATTCCTGCTTTGTACTCAAGATTTTGTTTATTAGATTGTTTTCTAGGCTGTGACTCTCCCTGTAGAACCCTGAATGTGGCTGTAGCAATTTTCCCAATCCTGGGAAAGCCTGGCTGGCTGGGGAATTCTGGAAATTGAAGTCCACATATCTGAAAGTTGCTAAGATTGAGAAACACTGGTTTGTTGCTTTGTTGTAATGATCCTTTCAAAGCCTACCCAATTCACTGAACAATATTACACGTAGTATCATCAAGTATAATACATGACTCTGTATAATATTTTCGTTGCAGCAGAGAAATAGAATAACAGCGTAAGAATACAACAGAAAAATACAGAAAACTCTGTCAAACATAATAAAGAAATAGCAACTAGCATTACAAGTAACTAAATATAAATATCAGCGAACAGTAGTTTGGAATAAATAAATCTTCAAAGCTTCTTTTAAAAAGGCATCAAAGAAGGAGCTATGTAGGTCTAAGGTAGGAAAGTTTTCCAAGATCTGAGATCTTATCTTGTGTTGAATAAGATACATTAGAAAATTAGTTGGGTAAAATATTAGGGTATTAAGAACGTATCTGGATAAGCTTCCCAATGCATAGATAGGGTGAGAAGATGAGTAAGATTTCAATCTCCCCAACATAATAATTGTGCCACTCCAGAATAATGTCGGCGAATGGTAGCTATTGCTGAAAATGCAACTTTTGAAGCACGGATAGTCCTTGACTTACAACCATTTGTTTTAGTGACCATTTGAAGTTACAACAGCACTGACTTAATGACCGTTTTCCACACCATTCCAGCATCCCATGGTCACATGGTCAAAATTTGGATGCTTGGCAACTGGCAGGTATTTATGACGGTTGCAGTGTCCCGGGGTCACCTTTAGCGACCTTCTGACGAGCAAAGTCCATGGAGAAGCCAGATTCACTTAACAGCCGTGTTACTAATTTAACAGCTGCAGTGTCCGTAGAGATTCTCAGTCATCCATGTCGTGGTTGTCCCAAAGGTGCTTTTTCAGGAGGCAACTGGACTTGCTTGTTTTTTCTTTTGAAGACATTTTGCTTCTCATCCAAGAAGCTTCTTCAGCTCTGACAGGAGCTTCAGGAAGTTCTGAAGAAGCTTCCATTCCCCACTATCCTGTCAGAGCTGAAGAAGCTTCTTGGATGAGAAGCGAAACGTCTTCAAAAGAAAATCCAGTTGCCTCCTGAAAAAGCAACAGCTTTGGGGCAACAGCTGCAATGATTCCCTTAACAACTGTGGCAAGGAAGATTGTAAAATGGGGCAAAACTCACTTAACAACTGTCTTGCTTAGCAACAGCAATTTTGGGCTCAATTGTGGTCATACGTAAAGGATTACCTTTACCAGAATTTCACATTTTATCTTGATCACTAGAGGTATTAACGCATTATCTCTTTGTTCCTCTCGCTGTCTCATTCCTCTGTTTCTCTAATTGGGAGGCCTGCTCTATACAGCTGACTTCCTAAAGGAAGAAAACAGGTAGTCCTTGCTTAGCAACAACTCATTCAGCGACCATTCGAAATTATGATGGTGCTGGATGAAGAGACTTAGGCTGGTCCTTGAAGTTGTGGCCATCACAGCACCCCTTAGGTTTGAGCACCGTGATTATGATCCCGATCGCCATTTTGCAACTTTCCTTGCCTACTTCCCATGAGCGAAGTGGACGAGGAAGCCGTCAGCGAGTCGCAAGTCGCAGTCATGTGACATCACACTTAGCCACCCAGCATGAGTCACTTAAAATGGAAGCCAGAACTGCTGTCGAGTCACTGCAGCCACACGATCTTTCATTTTTAATGACTGTGTTGCTTAGCAACAGTCCCATTTCACCGAAGACCGCCTTGAAAACTCAAAGAGATGCACGCTTCCATATTGGGCCACATCATTTAATAAAGCATTAACTTGTCCCTTCGGACCTTAAACATCGATCTCAAGATCCTCTGAATGGGGGAACGACGATTCTCATCCTACCCTTTGCTAATTGGGGTTCTCTGTAAATAAACTGGAGGAGTCCAACTTTCCCTACCATCATAAAAAGCAAGAACAACGTCGCAAGCTTGCTATGTACACAGCTGCAGGAAGTTCATCGATAGAATGGGGATTACTGTAGTGCTGTGGTTTAAGATAGTACCCCATACTGGCCAGGATAGCAGGACACTGTCCAATATCCCTTCCCACATGACGAGAGCTTCTCTACCTACACCCGCAGGACTCAGCCACCATATCTGGGTAGGCCTTAACTATCATCCCTTGATCACTGGTAAAGGTAACCATGAGACTTTTGGAATATTTCACCGGGACGCAGCAAGGGGCTCGTTGGAGGGGCATGCCCTGTTCGTGCATACGCAGCAGAAAAATGGTGTGGGAATAGTAGTCCGGGATGCGGGTGGAGAGCGGGCTCTGGCAGGGGCCCACGCAATTGTTGGCATTGTATGACTCTGGTAAAATGATGTACCTGGTGGAGACCAGGTTTATCCTGAGCTCTCGCAGCCGGCAGTAGTCATCCTGGACTTGAGTGCTACGGTTGGCCCGTAACGACACCTTCCTGGCCTCTCGCCAACGAGTGCGCACCACCTGGAGAGCCTTGAGCAACAGAAGGCTGTGGATTTTTCTACGGGTCTGCGTTTCCTCCGTTTCTGCAGAATCGTGAGCGGGAAGCTTTCCTGAGCCCCTCGAAGGATAGTAGCACAGAGCCAGCAGAGTACGGAAGAGGTCGGCGTTGGCGTGGAAGGATGGCATGGCTTTCAGCTCTTGGATCACAGAATGCAGCTTTTCCAACAGTTGCTGAAGCAACTTTCCCTCTAGGTACCACTGGCCGAGCTGGCGCTCCATGAAAGCTTGGCTGTTCTCGGGAAAAAGGACCACGAGGTGATTTTCAGACTGCACCAGCCGCTCAAAAGCCACTTTCTCTGACAGGTTGAGCAGTTCGTGAGGAAGGGCCTCCATTGTGTCGAAATCCAGCAGGAGATGCCCCTGGGCGACAGGAGGCTCACCAGAGGGGTTCAGGACTTTGTTGACAAATTGGGAGAGGGTCTCCAAAAAGTATCCAGGGTTTGTGAGCACTGACGCAGTGGCGTTGGTTTGGTTAGTGATGGCGGCAGCCTCAGAGGGTGTGTGGGCTACGCCGGAACTCAGCAAGCTGGTGCAGAGAGAGAAAGATTTTTTAAAAATTATTTGGCTGTCTCCTTATTCTACTTATGCCCAACTCATCTGGTACATACATATGCCAACACAGTTCTAGGCTGCATAAACAGGAGGATAGAATCAAGATCACGTGAAGTGTTAATACCACTTTATAATGTCTTGGTAAGGCCACACGTGGAATTCTGCATTCAGTTTTGGTCACCACAATGTAAAAAAGATGTGGAGACTCTAGAAAGAGTGCAGAGAAGAGCAACAAAGATGATTAGGGGACTGGAGGCTAAAACATATGAAGAACGGTTGCAGGAACTGGGTAGGTCTAGTTTGATGAAGATAAGGACTAGGGGAGACATGATAGCAGTGTTCCAATATCTCAGGGGCTGCCACAAAGAAGAGGGAGTCAAACTATTCTCCAAAGCACCTGAGGGCAGGACAAGAAACAATGGGTGGAAACTAATCAAGGAGAGAAACAACTTAGAACTAAGGAGAAATTTCCTGACAGAACAATTAATCAGTGGAACAAATCATCTCCAAGGTTGTGAATGCTCCAACACTGGAAGTTTTTAAGATGATGTTGGATAACCATTTGTCTGAAGTGGTGTAGGGATTCTTGCCTAAACGGGGTTGGACTAGAAGACCTCCAAGGTCCCTTCCATCTCTGTTATTCTATTCTATTCTATCTCTGAATTCATGCTTCATGCAGAATTCAAGGATACCAAGGTCAAATGGCAAGTTGTTCACAAATAAGTTAGATTCATGCTAAGCCATAAAACCATGTTTTACTGGCTGGGTAATTTTGGGGCAATCACCAGGAGATGGTGAGTTCTAGTCCACCTGAGGTATGAAATCTGGCTGGGTAATTTTGGGGAAAATCACCAGGAGATGGTGAGTTCTAGTCTCACCTGAGGTATGAAATCTGGCTGGGTAATTTTGGGGCAATCACCAGGAGATGGTGAGTTCTAGTCCCACTTGAGGCATGAAATCTGACTGGGTAATTTTGGGGCAATCACCAGGAGATGGTGAGTTCTAGTCTCACCTGAGGTATGAAATCTGGCTGGGTAATTTTGGGAAAATCACCAGGAGATGGTGAGTTCTAGTCTCACCTGAGGCATGAAATCTGACTGGGTAATTTTGGGGCAATCACCAGGAGATGGTGAGTTCTAGTCTCACCTGAGGTATGAAATCTGACTGGGTAATTTTGGGGCAATCACCAGGAGATGGTGAGTTCTAGTCCCACTTGAGGCATGAAATCTGGCTGGGTAATTTTGGGGCAAACACCAGGAGATGGTGAGTTCTAGTCTCACCTGAGGTATGAAATCTAGCTGGGTAATTTTGGGGCAAATCACCAGGAGATGGTGAGTTCTAGTCTCACCTGAGGTATGAAATCTGGCTGGGTAATTTTGGAGCAATCACCAGGAGATGGTGAGTTATAGTCCCACCTGATGTATGAAAGCCAGCTGGTTAACTTTGGGCTAGTTCCTCTCTCTCTCAGTGGAACCTACCTCTCAGGATGGTTGTTGTGGGGAAAATAGGAGGAGGAAGGAATACTAGGTATATTCACTGCCTTGAGTTACTTATAAAATAATAAAGGGATTTTGAAAAATATAATAATAAATAATTTTGATGCATAAAAAGAAATGTGAAAGAGATTCTCAAGCATTTCAAGGGGAAGAAAGGGAAAACAAAGCTGATTTCACAGAAGAAAACATCAAGACAACGCAAGATAGCATTCAACCCACAGACCTCAAACATTAAATGAAGAGCAATTAACTGAATTAATTACATTCACATTAAAGTTATGCGAAGATTTTAAAATGGCCACCTTCTTGAAGACTCCTAAGCAAGCAAGACCCCCTGACACTTCCTGCTCTTTCAACTTTGCAAAAAAATAAATAAAAATAAAACAAGATGTCAGTGTTTCTTGGAGGAGATTTTGGAAACAAATGGTGATGAAATGGCTCTTATCTGCTTTATTTACGCTGTTGCTGCCCTCGGAAGCGACACAATGTTCCCTTCGAGGGTTTCCCAAAGTCCTTATCAGACTTCTGGGCAGGCTAGATTGGAAGCAATTAAAGAGGTCCGCAGGAATCTGAGATCTTCTGAGAAGTCCAATTTATTTCAGGAAAGTCAAAAGGCCTTTACAAAATATTTCTGGCAAGTACTGCAGGGGTGGGTTCCAGGGGTGAAATGCTCCCGGTTCGGACCGGATCGCCCGATCCGGTAGCGATGGAGGCAAGTGGTTCAGAGAACCAGTAGCAAAAATCCCTGCCCCCTCCCCACCCCATGCCCAGTTGAGCCACGCAATCATCAGAGGCTTTTTTTTTTTTATTTTTAAAAGCATTTTTTCTACAACTTCTTCGGCCGAAAAAATGCTTTTAAAAGTAAAAAAAAAGCCTCTGATGTTTGGGCGGTTCAGCTGGGATCGTCAGAGGCTTTTAAAACCATTTTTTCTTCAACCTCTTCAGCCGAAGAGGTTGTAAAAAAATGCTTTTAAAAGGCTCTGACGATCCCAGCTGAGTTGCCTGATCGTCAGAGGCTTTTAAAAGCATTTTTTACAACCTCTTCTGCCGAAGAGGTTGTAGAAAAAATGGTATTAAAAGTTAAAAAAAAAAAGTTGGCCACACCCACCCAGTCACATTACTCCCCCCCACCAAGCCACATCCACAGAATCGGTAGTAACAAATTTTAGATTTCACCACTGGTGGGTCCTACTTACCTTTACTACCGGTTTGCAATGGGGCATGTGCAGAAGCGTTCTGATGACGTCGGGGTTGGTGGGCACAGCCTCCTGCCAGTTTTACTACCGGTTCTATACAACCAGTGCGAACCAGGGGCAACCCACCACTGAAGTGCTGGGTATCCAGAGGAAGCAGGGGTGGTATTCACTTACTTTCCCTACCGATTCGCAAATGTGAGAACGTGCGCGCGCACGCGCTTCACTCGCACACGCCCCATCCACACATGTGCCTGGCCTCAAAAACTTGCCTAAATAGGATGGTATAGAGCCAGGTCAGGTGGGCGGGTGGGCCCACCTATGATTTCTGCTACCGGTTTGGGCGAACCAGTCCGAACCAGCTGAATATCACCTCTGAAAGGAAGCCTTGCTAACCCTGAGGTCTAAATCAGTGGTGAAATGTAAAATTTGTTACTACCAGTTCTGTGGGCGTGGCTTGGTGGTGGTGGGTAATGTGACTGGGTGAGGGTGGCCAACTTTTTTTTTTTTTTTACTTTTAAAAGCATTTTTTCTACAATCTCTTCAGATGAAGAGGTTGCAGAAAAAAATGCTTTTAAAAGCCTCTGATGATCAGGCTACTCAGTTGGGATCGCCAGAGGCTTTTAAAGGCATTTTTTTTCGGCCGAAGAGGTTGTAGAAAAAATGCTTTTAAAAGTAAAAAAAAACAGCCTCTGATGATTGCGCGGCTCAGCTGGGCATGTGGGGGGCAGGGATTTTTGCTACTGGTTCTCCGAACCACCCGCCACCATCGCTACCGGATCGGGTGATCCAGTCCAAACCGGGAGCATTTCACCCCTGGTCTAAATGCCTTGCTTGAACTCTGTAACAGGATGGATAGCTCTCCCTTTGGGACAGGGGCAGGGGTGAAATGCTCCCGGTTCGAACCGGCTCGGGCGAGTAGGTAGCAATGGCGGCAGGCAGTTCGGAGAACTGGTAGCAAAAATCCCTGCCCCTGCCCCCCATGCCCAGCTGAGCCGTGAAATCATCAGAGCCTTTTTTTTTTACATGCCTCTGACGAGCCAAGCTCTGACGATCCCAGCTGACTTGTCTGCTAATCAGGCAACTCAGCTTGGATCACCAGAGCCATGTAAAAGAAAAATACTTTTTTCCTTTTAAATGGCTCTGACGATCCAAGCTCTGACGGCCCCAGCTGAGTTGCCTGCTAATCGGTAGCAAAAATCCCTCCCCCTCTCCCCCTCAGCTTGCTTACCTTAGCTGCTGGTCACAACGCCTTGCTGTAAACCCTGCAATCCATTGGATCAGCAAGCAACTGAATCTCCCTGCCTGCAATCAAGCAGGCAGGGAGTTGTGGACTTCAACTCCCAGAATTCCTCAGCCAGCAAAGCAAAGCTGGCTGAGGAATTCTGGGAGTTGAAGTCTACAAGTCTTAAAGTTGCCAAGGTTGGAGACCCCTGTTCTATTTGGTAAGTTTTTTTCTCCTTTGGGAGCTTTAAAAAAATAGTTAATTGGGTTTTTTTTAGTTGTTCTTTTTTTAAACCTAGCCATTTAAAATTTAGGAAGTTTTAAATTTACCTGCTTTTATATAAAAATAAAAATAAAATAAAATAAAATAATATTTGTGCAGCTTTCTGAGATTTAGTGTGTTTCTGTAGTGTTTCACTCTAACTACACAAACACACAAAATCTCACAAAGCTGTATGTGGAATTTTGTGTGTGTAAAGTTGTTTTTTGGGGCTTTTTGTGGCTGTGTGAGGTTCCTGCTTGTTGCAAGAGCCATTTTGGGTCTAGCAGAGCTGCCCATTTCCATCCTCCATCCTCCAGAGGACTTCTGGAGCCTGGGGAGGCCGTTTTTGCCCTCCCGGAGGCTCAAGGAAAGCCTCCGGAGCCCGGGGAGGGCAAAAATGGTGCAGAAGGCCAACTAGGCCACACCCACCATGACCACGCCCACCCAGCAACCAGGCAGAGAATCCCTTGCTAAAATTTTTGAAGCCCACCCTTGACTAGTTCCTGTCTATAGGTGGAGAATAGGATGCAAAGTTTAGAGAATGCTATTTACCTGGGTTTCAGGTATGGTAATACATCTAACTTGCCATCCGCAGAGAGGAAAGAAGAAGGTGGATGGGAGTCAACGCCAAAGTTTTGTTTCACCAACAGCAAGACAGCCGGGGTCCTGCGGGTGAAACACTTGGCATCAAAGCCAAACAGAAGATCTTGGGCTTCATCAGAGGAGACAGCAGCATCTGGGAGGCAAGGATACAAAACAAAAAAAAGAAAAAAAGGAAAAAGAAAGTGACTTATTGGACCAGCAACGATATTCTCCCTCTTATTGTTGTAGGTTTCTGAGGCCCAAGAAACAATGGAAATGTCGTAAGTAGAAGGACTGGACATAAGATCACTTTTTTCAATCCTGTTATGATTTTGAGTGGTCACTAAACAAATAGCTGTGACTCAAGGGCTACCTGTACATAGACACAAGGGAACATACATGCCAAATGTTATTAAACTACAATTACTAGCATCCCTCACGATTGGTCACATAATGAAAGGTGCTGGGAGTTGTAGTTTACTTTTGGAGGTCTACAACATTCTTGCTTGCAATGCCTGCAAAGGGCTCCATTTTATACCAGAGAAAATCACTGCATTTTGATCAGTTGTTTAGAATTTGTGTTTTTCAAATGGAGGAACAGGAGATTCCCCCCACCCCACCCCTCACCCGCCATGAAACTCTCACCTACCTGTATTGTTTTGGTGCCTGATTTCCAAGGAAAGTTCATAGCTTAATTCACCAGGAGAATGTCTCCCAGACATCACGGAGCCTTGGAGGACAAGGTAGCGGGTTCCTCTGGAAAGGCAAACAACCTGAGATAGGATTAAAAATAAACATAAAAATAAACATACCCCAACATTTGATTGAAATCCCCCCTCAAAATATTTATTTGCATCATGAAATGCAGAAACTCCCTTGAGGCTTCATTCTCAGGTCAAGAATTATTTAATCCCTGCGGCCAGCTAAAAGCACCTGCTTAGCCTTGGCGGGCAATTTTAAGACGTGTGGACTTCAAATCCCAGAATTCCCTAGCCAGCATGCCAGCTGGGGAATTCTGAGAATTGAACCTCATACAACCGTGATGGCGAACCTATGGCACATGTGCCACAGGTGGCACGCCTGAGAGTTCAGCTCCAGCGTGTATGTGCGCGCCGGCCAGCTGATTTTCGGGCCTTCTGGGCCCACTGGAAGTAGGGAAACAGGCTGTTTTCTGCCTTCCGAGGGCCTCGGAAGGCCCATTTTATTATCTCCCCAGCCTCCAGAGCCTTTCTAGGAGCCTGGGGAGGGCAAAAACAGCCTCTCCCCCGGAGGCCCTCCGGTGGCCAGAAATGGCCCATTTGCCTGGGGAGAGAGAAAAACGGGCCTACTGGGCCGACCATGCCATCGCGTGCCAGGAGCGGGGAGGGGAAAGGGGGGTCGTGCTTGCATGCACGGGGCCCATAGAATTATAGGTGTTGGCACGCGATGGCAAAAATGTTAGCCATCACTGTCATACATCTTCAAGTTGATGGCGTTAAGAAATATTCATCTAGTAGTCATGGGTGAAATCCAGCAGGTTCTGACAGGTTCTGGAGAACCAGTAGCGGAAATTTTGAGTAGTTCAGAGAACTGGCAAATACCACCTCTGGCTGTCCCCAGAGTGGGGTGGGAATGGAGATTTTGCAATATCCTTCCCCCAGGAGTGTGGGGGGGAATGGGGATTTTGCAGTATCCTTCCCCTGCCACGCCCGCCACGCCACGCCCACAGAACTGGTAGTAAAAAAAATTGGATTTCACCACTGCTAGTAGCCCAACCCTCTACCAACTCTAGAAATCTACTAAAGTATTCATGAAAAGCTAGCAGTCCAGTCTCCATTTAAAAATCCCAGTTAATGATTGTCTGCTGCAACCACTAGGATCTCCCACTGCCAAACATTCACTAATATTCAGAGTGAATCTTATTTCTTTGAATTTCAGACCAGGCCCTTGGTTTCAACAGAAAGAAAATTAGGTAGCAGGAGAGACATTCTATGAACCGAGAGGGTGTCAAATCAAGTGTAAATGGTATTTTAAAAGATATGGGGCTTTTCACAATTGCGGTCACTATCTTGGGTTCTTTGATGTAGCATTTTTGGTATTCTGAAGAGTGTTTATCTTCACTTGCCTTAATGTGACCTAAAGAAGCAAAAGAACTCTTTGAGTCATCCATTGTAGGATATCATCATCATCACAATCGTCATCATGCTTTTTGGTCAACTCAAGGTGGCAAACATACTTAATATTCCTGCCCCCTATTTTCCCCACAACAACCCTACAAGGTAGGCTGAGGTCAGAGAGAGCATATTAGGTATGTTGACAACTTGAGTTGTTTATAAAAATCAGACAGCTGGGATATAAGTAGAGATAAATAAATAGAACTGAGGGCCAGTTTGGTCTAGTGCAGTGATGGCTAACCTTTTTGCCATCGTGTGCCAAAAGTGGGGGGAGCGGGGGGGTCATGCGTGTGCGTGCCCACACCCATAATTCTATGCATCCCGCCTCCCCATGCATGTACACGTGACCCACCCATTTTTCGCCCTCCCCAGGCTCCAGAACCTTTCTAGGAGCCTGCCCACCCCCGGAGGCCCTCCGGAGGCCGGAAATGGCCCATTTGCTGACTTCCGGTGGACCGGAAGGCCCATTTTTTGTTCTCCCCAGGCTCTAGAGTCTTTCCAGGAGCCTGGGGAGGGCAAAAATGGCCTTCCCCTCTGCCCCGGAGGCCCTCTGGAGGCCAGAAACAGCCTATTTCCCTACTTCCGGTGGGCCCAGAAGGTCCGAAAATTGGCTGAGCTCGCGTGCCCACTGATATGACTCCATGTGCCACCTGTGGCACACGTGCCATAGGTTTGCCATCATGGGTCTAGTGGTTAAGACACATAGCTACAAACCAGGAGAGTGTGAGTTCTAGTCCCGCCTTAGCCATGGATTTTGGGCCAATCGCCAGAAGACTATGAGTTCTAGTCTAGCTGAATGACGTTGGGCCAATCCCTATCTCGCTGAGCCCAACTCATCTCACAGGGTTGTTGTTATTGGGAAAATAGGTTTGTTCGCCTTGAGTTATTTGTAAAAATAATAAAGGTGGGGTATAAATATACAAATAAACAAATATAAGTAAACAAATAAATATAGTTGAAATTGTGGGAGGAGTATATGCGATGTTGATCTCCTTAGTGCTGTTAGGAATAATGCGGGGAGGGGGAAATTGTCCCACAAACCTGCTTTTGATGTAATCCTTCTCCTCCCACTAGAAATCTCTTTGGGACTCTGTGATGCACCAGTTCCTTTTCTCCTTGATAGAAGACTAGGAGGACCAACTGCAAGGAGCTGAGAGGCTCTTCCATGTCCTTCTGAAAGGTCAGCTTAAATCTGAGTTTGGTCTCGACTTCCCATTTCACTACCAAAAGAGACGAAGAAAATTAAAAAGGGATACAAGTTGGAAGGGACCTTGTAGGTCATCTAGTCCAACCCCTCCCCCGCCCAAGCAGGAGACCCTACACCCGTGATGACGAACCTATGGCACGCGTGCCAAAGGTGGCACGTGGAGCCATATCGGTGGCCACATGAGCTCAGCTTATTTTGAGGCCTTCTGGGCCCACTGGAAGTAGGGAAACGGCCTTCCGGTCCCGCCAAAAGTCAGCAAACTGGTTGTTTCCGGCCTCCAGAGGGCATCCGGGGGAGATGGGGAAGGCCGTTTTCACCCTCCCCAGGCTCCTAGAAAGACTCTGGAGCCTGGGGAGAGTGAAAAATGGGCCCACTGTGCCACTGCATGCCAAAATCGGGAGGAGTGCAGGAGGGTCATGTGCAAGGGAGTGGGACGCATAGAATTATGGGTGTGTGCACGCGTGCGCACGACATCCCCCGCGCTCCCCCCGCTTTTGGCACACCATGGCAAAAAGGTTAGCCATTACTGCCCTACACCATTTCTGATAAGTGTCTGTCCAGTCTCTTCTTGAAAGCCTCCAATTTCCTAAGGTTGATTGTTCTCACTGTCAGAAAAGTTCTCCTTATTTCTAGGTTGCATCTCTCCTTGATCAGTTTCCATCCATCGTTTATCCATTCTCTTACAAATAAGCCATCTGGCGTGCTAGCTACGCTGTCTCATATTGTCCAACTCTCTTCTCTGCCTGCTTTCCTGGTCATCGGAGTTCCAACCCGTCATTTGAACTCTTCCTTGATTCATGTTTAGCTTATTTTTCATTCTTTATACTACAGGTTTATGCTACTACTTTATACAAGCCTGACTAGGCGGCTCAGTGGCTAAGACACCGAGCTTGTTGATCAGAAAGGTTGGCAGTTTGGCAGTTCAAATCCCTAATATAAGTCTTCTGCGTGAGCAGGGGGTTGGACTAGATGACCTCCAAGGTACCTTCCAACTCTGTTACTGTTAAAAAAAATGGAGGTACTCCTCAACTTGTGACCACAACTGAGCCCAGAACTGCCATTGTTATCAAGGGGGTTATTAAGTGAGGCATGTCCAATTTTACCACTGTTTTTGCTGTAGTCATTAAGTGAATTACCATGGTCATTAAACAAATCATGCAGACATTAAGCAAATCCAGTTTCTCCCACTGACTTTGCTCATTGGAAGCTAGATGGGAAGGTTGCAAATTGTGGATCATGTGACTTCTGGACATTACATGCCGGTTGCCAAGCACACAAATTTTAATCACGTGACTGTGAGGGATGCTGCAACAAGTCATAAGTGTGAGGAATGGTCCTAAATCACTTTTTTCAGCACCATGTTACCATGCAACTTCTAATGGTTGCTAAATGAATAGTTGTAAGCCTACTGGCTGTATTTTAAAAATGGAAAACAGTGGAATCTGGGACATCCATAGGATGTGGACAGAACCTCAGAGTATTGTGGCTGCCATGTTGGCTTTTTTGGCCGCATCCTGCAGGTGCCCCTGGGTTCAATACCATCAGTGGTGCGTTGCCCCTGGTTCACACCAGTTCTATAGAACCGGCAGTAAAACCGGCGGGAGACTCCGCCCACCGACCCCGATGTCATCAGAATGCTTCTGTGCATGCACAAAAGAGCACATGCGCGCACGAGGGAAGCGAGCGCACGCGCACGGCCCTGTTGCAAATCAGTAGTAAAGGTAAGTAGAACCCACCCCTGAATACCATTGACCCATGTTTAATCTCAAAGAAAATGGTATGTTCTGTTAACAAGAGAGATATTGAGACGAGCTTTAGCCTGACACTGGTGGATTCGCACATGATATTTGGTGAGGCTGAGGTGGAGCAGGATAGACTGTGATTCAGCACATTGTGGGAATCCAGTCACTAACTTAGCCAGTCGATGGTATGAGCAAGTCCAAGTTCTCAATGATGCCATGCAGGTAGTTCCTCGACTTACGACCGCAATTGAGCCCAAAATTTCTGTCTCGCTTAACAAAATTGAGTTTTGCCCCATTTTGTGAGCTTTCTTGCCATAGTTGTTAAGTGAATCACTGCAGTTGTTAAGTAAGTAACCCGGTCGTTAAGTGAACCTGGCTTCCCTATTGGCTTTGCTTGTCAGAAGGCCACCAAAGGGGGATCACATGACCTGGGACACTGCAACCGTCATAAATATGAGTCGGTAGCCAGGCATTTTAATTTTGATCATATGACCATGGGGATGCTGCAACGGTCATACGTGTGGAAAATGGTCATAAGCCCCTTTTTTCAGTGCTGTTGTAACTTCGAACTGTCACTAAACAAACTGTTGTAAGTCGAGGACTACTTGTAATTTGGTGCATTTGGGGGCTTACCTCATGCTGAACCCATGTTGTAGCAATCAGATTTGTTAAGTCTTTGGCTAAGAGCAAGGTATGGACTACACCAAAGAGTTTGAAAAAGACATAATTTTTTTTAAAAAAAGAGGGATCTGGTGGCCATTTAGTCCACCTCTTTTGTTATGTCCACCTTTTGGAAAAGCAGAGATCTTGTCTGCTCCATCCTACAAGGTTTCCTTTCACATTTGCTCATGAAAAGAAGGTGTATCTTGTGTCATCCCGATTTATAAATATTAAGTATTGCAAAAAAAAAAAAAATTAAAAAAAGACTTGATTTGCTTAATGCCTTAACAGATCTAATTTGAGGAGTCATTTTCTTTTATTGGAGGGCAATAATTTAAAGTTGCAGCTGAAGCTTTCACTATCAGAGTGATTGGGAAGATCCGTTCCCCCCCACCCCCAAACTATTTGCGACGGCTGGAAATGGATATTTATTCTTTGTAATCTCTGCAGCCGATCCCTATTTACTTTCCAGAAGGGCAGCTGATCCTTTCTGAAAAATCTCTCCCCCTCCCTCTGCCCCCCCCATTCCCCCCTTCCCGGCAAAAGAGAGATGTAGGACAGGAGCAATCCTATGATGGATCCGATTTAGACTTCTGGCCAGTCAACATATTTGGTCTGATCAAAAGGACTGCATGCCCACAAGAAATCTGAATTTTGCACCTATAAGCTATTTCAGTCCTAGTTAAGAGATTTGACCATTTTTTCCTCCTTTTTCAAATTATTTTCTCTTTTCTAAAAAAAACAGTATTTTCCCCTTTTCCTTTGGCACCCATCGATACTGCTTGCGTATTTATCTCAGTGTTGGTGTTACAAAACAATTGGCTTAGATTTAATGTACTTTTAGATTTAAATTTGGTATTCTGTAGAATTGCTGAATCGAAGGAACGTACATTGGGAGAAGGGAAAGGGAAAGGAGGAGGAATTTTAGAAAAGCATTGCATGCCTTATATAAGCACTTCATCATTTTATCCTATTACTATCGCTCGAGACTATTGTATCACTTTACACTAAGCATTATCACTGTTCAAGGGCCAATTTCTAAAACTTCGTTGACATTTTAGAAATTCTAAACAAAGCTTTCTAGAAACGAGAAGAGAGGGAATAACGGTAAACAATGATACTTTTCCATCCTTTCCCTGTTTGCACTTACCTTCTTCCAAATGCAGCATGAAGAAACGGTGTCCAGCAGGCCTTCCCAGAGAATCAGCCACACGCTGGAGTGACCCGAGAAGGCTGTGGGGTGGGCTTGAGGGACATATCCCAAAGATCTCCAGGTCCTCTCTGCTCCAGGCAGATCTGCTCAGGGCCTTCAAGAACCCGCTGTCGTAACGGCTGAGGAGGCCCCCCACCTCCAGATGGTTAGGACCCCAAAAGCTGCCCCCATCCAGCCTCACGTGACACACCGATTCCTCGGAGCTTTCGTAGAGCCATGACTGAGAACTGGGTTGGGGCCATAAACTCAAGGGTCTCACTTCCTTCTCAGCCAAGGGCAGGTGGGGTGGCGGGAGATGTCCAGGGTTGTCTTCTGACTCCAGGGAAACCACCAGGACTTTTGAAGGGGCTTCCTTGAAATCCAATGCAATCTTGACGTCTTCTTCTTCTTCTTCTGGGAATTTCAGTTCTCCTAAATTGGGACTTTCCCATTGTCTCGGAGGGTTTTCTTTTGCAGGTGAGGGGAGGGACTCGGCTCTTAGCCAGAGACCCAGGAGGATGCTGGCCAGGCCAAGTTGCATGGTTGCGTCTTCCCTGGAGAACTAAAGCCACCTCTCCAGGATTCCCCAGGGAAAATTCAGAAGGGAGTGAAGGCATCGGATAACACACACGCACACACACGCACACACAGAGAGAGAGAGAGATGGCCTGAATTTTTCTTCTTTAACCCATGTGACCTTGAATGATCACACCGTCCTGGGCGAATTCTTGCAACAAGCTGGCTCAAAGGAGCCGTCCTGTTCTATTTGCAGGTTTTTGATATCTTTAAGTCTGGGTGCTTTAGCAAATGCAAGACATCCAAGCTGGCTCAACCTTGATGCAAACCCTTTTTATCATATTCCCCCCACCCACCCTCCAAGAGATCAAAGCAAAACCCACATTCACACACAATTTGTACCTCTCAGTCTTTACATTGTATCAGAGCCCGCTTATCATGTTCCCTCCCCCCCTTAATCATCTTATATAAAGGCCATTTTTTTAAATCAGCAGTATTTGTTCCTTTAAATATTTATCACCTAAATTAATACCTTGAAGTATGTTAAAGGATCAGAGAATCAGACACAATTGAACGGGAGAAAAAAAATTCTTAAGGAGTGAAAGAATTTTGTAAAAGCTATTAAAATAATCTGGGAAGAAAATGTTTCAAAGACATTTTGTGTCTTTTAGTGGTTGCCTCCAATGCTTCCTGAGAAGGCTAAGCTGATGGAACTCACTGTTACTAGATGTAGGGTCTGAGGATCTCAAGACAATGGACAATGTATAGTCTTCACTGGAAGAACAGGATATATATAAAAAAATTCAGTCCATTTTTTATGCATTGGGATGGTGGGGATGATGATAAAATAAATGCCTTTTGGCTGAGAAGGCATTTTAAGTTGGGAACTAGGTATGTGCCTTCACCTCTCTTAACCAAATGTCATGGGTTTTTTTTTTTTTAATTTGATTTATATGCCACCCTTCTCCGAAAACTCAGGGCGGCTTACAATGTGCTCAGCAATAGCCTGATTTGGTTGATTTTGTAGACCTCCCAACCCCAAAATATTAAGGCCAAAAGCCTTTGGCCACTAGAAGATTAGCTATGGGTTAAGTGGAGATAGGCAAGGCCCTACATCTTATTTTAAATGAATGTGGGGAAGATAGCTTTTGCAACACGTACACCTTAGCCAATCACATTTCAACCTAGCATACTGGAGGGGAATCCAGGCTGTGCTGGGATAAAATCTAAAAAAATGGATCCCATTTGATAAGCTGTGGTGGTGAACCCTGAGTTTGCAAACTGTAGGAAGGCGGCCTTAATCATGCCTTGCTATTGGGAACCTCCCATGGAGGGAGATATGGCATTAATGAAATCCTTACCTTGGAACAGTGTTTCTCAATCTCAGTGGCATGTGGACTTCAACTCCCAGAATTCCCCCGTCTTGCTGGCTGGGGATTTCTGGGAATTGACGTTCACATCTTAAAAAAGTTGATGAAACATTACTTTTAAAGAATGTGAACAAATTGACCCATCTTTGGTCCAAACCAGCCCTAATTTACAAATTGTGGCTTTTGATCGATTGCAGTTATTTTGGTGTGTGCGTATGCAAACAGTTGTTGTTGTTAGTTGCAAAGTCGTGTCCAACCCATTGCGACCCCATGAACAATGTTCCTCCAGGCCTTCCTGTCCTCTACCATCCTCTGGAGTCCATTTAAGCTCACACCTGCTGCTTCAGTGACTCCATCCAGCCACCTTGTTCTCTGCCGTCCCCTTCTTCTTTTGCTCTCCATCTTTCCCAGCATTAGGCTCTTCTCCAGTGAGTCCTTCCTTCTCATTAGATGGCGAAGTATTTGAGTTTATTGATTTGAATATTTGATGCATACAGTAGTAGAGATTTATTTCACGGTCAAAGCCAGATCATCCTCGTCTTGCAATCTCTGCAAGTTTATATACCACGCCTGCCATATTTCCACGCTTCAGGCATTGCTCAGCTGTTGCATTCTTGGGGCTTTACCTTGTGAAGTTCCCAAGAGGGCTGTGATTTTTCAAAATGGCAAGAAGTTTGATTTGCTCCAACTTTCACTTTACTTCGTATGTATCATTTGGGGTAGAGGCTGTGTGGCCATAAAATAATCAAAGAATTTCCAAGCCCTTTGCTCATCAAAACAGGACAGGCTGAGGATTTTGCACAGTATCTGCACGATAAAATCGCTCAGATTCGGGAAGGCTTGGACTCTGACTGGGTAGATCCTGGCGGGGTGACTGAGGCTGGTCTTGAGAATGTTACCTGGGATGAGTTCGACCCTGTGACTCCTGAGGACGTGGACAGGATCCTGGGGAGATTAAACGCAACCACATGTTTATTGGACCCGTGCCCCTCCTGGCTGGTACTGGCCACCCGGGAGGTAACACGAGGCTGGCTCCAGAGGATCATAAATGCTTCTCTGAGAGAGGGTTTCTTGCCTCCCGCCTTGAAAGAGGCGGTGGTGAGGCCCCTCCTCAAGAAGCCTTCTCTGGACCCGGCCGTTTTGGCAAACTATCGTCCGGTCTCCAACCTTCGCTTTGTTGCGAAGGTTGTGGAGTGTGTGGTTGCGCGACAGCTCCCACAGTTCCTGGATGAAACTGTCTATCTAGATCCGTGCCAGTCCGGCTTCAGGCCTGGGTACAGCACGGAGACGGCATTGGTCGCATTGGTGGATGATCTCTGGAGGGCTCGGGACAGGGGTTGTTCCTCTGTTCTGGTCCTGTTAGACCTCTCAGCGGCTTTTGATACCATCGACCATGGTATCATGCTGCGCCGGCTGGAGGGACTGGGGGTGGGAGGCACCGTGTTGCGGTGGTTCTCCTCCTATCTCTCTGACCGGTCGCAGTCTGTGTTGGCAGGGGGGCAGAGGTCGACCTCGAGGCGCCTTGCTTGCGGGGTGCTGCAAGGGTCGGTCCTCTCGCCGCTCCTGTTCAACATTTATGTGAAGCCGCTGGGTGAGATCATCCGTGGTTTTGGGGTGCGATGCCATCTGTACGCTGATGACACTCAGCTGTACATTTCCACCCCAGACCACCCCAATGATGCCCTCGAAGTGATGTCCCAGTGTCTGGAGGCCGTGCGGGTCTGGATGGGGAGGAACAGGCTTCGGCTCAACCCTTCCAAGACCGAGTGGCTGTGGATGCCGGCGTCCCGGTATAGCCAGCTGGTGCCATCGCTGGCTATTGGGGGCGAGTCACTGACCCCCACAGAGGGGGCTCGCAACTTGGGCGTCCTCCTGGACACACGGCTGTCTTTAGAAGAGCATATGACGGCCGTGGCCAGGGGGGCTTTTTATCAGGTTCGCCTGATACGCCAGTTGCGCCCCTTTCTGGATCGGGACTCCTTGTGCACAGTCACTCATGCCTTGGTTACGTCACGCCTGGACTACTGTAACGCTCTCTACATGGGGCTCCCCCTGAGGAGCACCCGGAGGCTCCAGCTGGTGCAGAATGCGGCCGCGCGGGTGATTATGGGAGCGACGTGGCGCTCCCACGTAACACCTCTCCTGCGCGAGCTGCATTGGCTCACGGTGGTCTTCCGGGTGCGCTTTAAGGTGTTGGTTCTCATCTTTAAAGCGCTCCATGGCTTAGGGCCAGGGTATTTGCGAGACCGCCTGCTGCTACCGATAACCTCCCACCGGCCAATACGCTCTCACAGAGAGGGCCTCCTCGGGGTGCCATCGGTCAGGCAATGTCGGCTGGCGGCCCCCAGGGGGCGAGCCTTCTCTGTGGGGGCACCCGCCCTGTGGAATGAGCTGCCTCCTGGAATACGATTGATCCCGGACCTCCGGACCTTCCGTAAAGCCCTGAAGACGTTTTTATTTCATCAAGCCGGCCTAGCCTAAATGGTTTTTTAATTGGGATTTTAAATTTTATGGATTTGGGGTTTTAAATTTGGGTAGCCAATGATTTAATTCTTTTAATTATCTTAACTTTTGCATTTGTATGTTTTTTTAATTTTGGCTGTTCACCGCCCTGAGTCCCTTCTGGGAGAAGGGCGGTATACAAATTAAATTAATAAATAAATAAATAATAAATAAAACCTTCATGAGGTTTCGGATTGTTCATTGACCTCCAAACATTTATCATATAAACATGTTAATATTTTAATAGCATTGCAATAATAATAAGAGACAAGGCTGCTCTCTCTAGCAGTTGACTATCCCGCTCTGGGTCAGTCTCAATATATACTGACCCCTTGAATGATCCCATTGACCCTTGTAGTCAATACTGACCTTTTTGCGGAACCCCACCATAAATGGGTGTAATCAATAATGATTGTTTATAGATGTCAAGATATAGTCCTTGTTTAGCAACAACTGGAATAGGCCCTTAAGTGAACCACAATTATGTTTATTATCCTTAATTCAGTTTTCCTCTGCTTTACCTACCTGCAAAAGTTGTAACTGTGAGCACTGGTTGTAAGGTTATTTTTTCATCACCATTGTAACTGCAGTAATTCCCTAAACAAGGTAGTCGCTAAATTAGAACATGTATTGCAATATCTTGAACCCCCCAGTGCTTCTTCTGCAGACACAAATTCCTTCTATGTATAGTCAACTTTTCCTTCCTACTAAATTCCTTCCATCTAAATTTTCTACCTTATCCATCCAGCCACCCATCCATCCCAGGCAGTCCCCAACTCTTGGTTCCTGAACAAATTCTGCATTACTCTGACTTGAAAAATTACTTTTACTTCATTTTCAGAATCATTTTTGCTAACATAAAAAGCAGGGGTCCTCAAACGTTTTAAACAGGGGGCCAATTCACGGTCCCTCAGACTGTTTGGGGGCCGGACCAGCTGAGTGGGTGTGGCTAGGTGATCATGTGCCTGGGTGAGTGTGGCCAATTTAGCAATCCAAATACACACAAATTAAAAATTAATTTGTTATGCTCCTTAAGGTGGAAAGCAGGTTAGTGAAAGGATGTGCACATCCCGTTTTTGGCCTCCGCGGCCTCCAGAAGGCGGGTAGGCGGGGCGATGTGGGCAGGGCAGCCTCATGGTCCTGCACGGGCTGGATTAATGGCTTCAGCGGGCTGTATCTGACCTGTGGGCTATAGTTTGAGGACCCCTGATAAAAAGGGATCACTGTGGCAAAGAGCCAATGAAAATATCAACCCATAGGGACAGCCATGAAAACCCACAAAAAAACCAAATTCTAGGATAGGGATTGTCAGGGAAGGTATAAAAGGCAACCTCTGGACCCCGTTTTAGAGAAGAACCTCACCCCTGGGCTACATTCACTCCAACCGAATTTGTGGAAACTGGTCAAACCAAATTACTCT